CGCGGCCAGATCGATGAGAACCTGGGTCACCGCATTTGTAGCAATATGTATCCCAGCAAACAAGGCTAGGATGTGGTCTTTACAGAGGACTTGCACCGGGACCTCGGATGGGGAATCATAGTGTTGGAGGAGCCACGACGCCAGGCGGCCGCGTTCATTGTCCAGGCTCTCCTTAGGGTTGAAAGACCTCTGTTGTTCAACCAGCAGTCCCTCTAACATTCGACAAATGCGGAGCTGGTGCTCCTTTACTTTTCGGACTCTAGGGAGGAACGGTCCCAGCCATTTACGAATTGAAGCCGGGTAGGCCCGAAGCTGATGTCCAGCTTCCATACTCTCAACCGCATAGTTGATGGAGGAGCTCACCCACTCTTCGCTGCGACTAAGAGGGAGTCCCACGACGGTGCGTCCGGTCAGCAGCGCGATATACCTCAGCATCGTGTTGTAGACCGGAAGTGTCACGCTGGGCGACCGGGGGGAAACGTCAATGACCGTGGGTGTGGCGTGGGCGATTTCCTCTATCAGTTCAGGAATTAAAGCACCAACATTGCGAGTTAGGTTCTGCTTTACTGAAGCTACCAGCTCGTCCGACTTAGCGCCCATGAGAGTATATTCCCCGAAAAACCGGCGATGATTGTTGGCTTCTATGGAGACTCGGGTCTCGGGCAGTGACTTGACCTCGTCGATGACATGATGAGGGAGAATCACAGTGGGATCCAGAAGTGACAAGACAAACGGACGATCGGGGAACTATCCGATTGTTAGTGGGACTAGTCGCTGGACTACACGGATAATCAGTTCGATCTTTCCTACTTTCCTGGTCCCCTCCTCCATGGCGGCTCGAAGGTCGGTACCATCTCTCTCGCCTAAGACAGGCAGGCGATAAAAGTCCCTGTAGGCGATTCTATGCCGGATGAGCCGTAGCAGTCGGTAGATAGCATAAAACGAAATAGTAAACCTGATAAAAGTGAGGCATCCCGAAATTGTACCCGACACCTAAGGTTTTGGTTAGAAGTGGCTGATATGTTTCATACTCACTTACCGCAAGGTGGAGGAGTAGCTTGTCCATGGCGATGGAAATGTGGACTATGAACACTTGATCATTTCTCCAACTATAAATCCAAGTTCAGCAATTCGCGGTATTGTTTCGGTATGATATGGGATCAATCAAACCACTGCTTATTGACTATCACCGGATCCCAGTCCATTTCGGCGTGTCGGAGTCGAGATCGGTCGCCGATCAACATCTTAGTCTGTTGGTTTTGACTAGGTGGAACATCAGACATTCAGACGAATGTCAAGGATAAATATATGCAGGGCATGACATATTTCACATTCTCTTTTTCTCTGAATACAGATGTAAGGATAGCACACGTCGTCACCGGCAGAACACCATGGCAGTCTTTACCTCAACCGTCCTAGAGAGAGTACCTGCGTATCTCCCCATAGCCGCGAGTTTCCTGTCATTCCTCTTCCTGTTCCTTCTCTTTTCTCCTGAGCGGATATATAAAGCACATCGGCTGGGAAAGTCTCGCATGTTATCACTGCTGTCAGGGCAGAAGTCGATACGATGGCACATTGATGAACTTGTCGAGCAGGGCTACCTGCAGGTAGATATTCTCTCCTCTTTGGCCTCCTCAGTATAATACTGACACTAGCAGGTCAATAAAGCCCTAGAAAAGCCTTTTGTCATCAACTGGTGGGGGCTAGACTGCCTTTTCATGCCGGCCAAGTATCTGGACGACCTTCGCAAGGCGGATTTCGATAGCCTGAGTTTCTTCCAGAGCCTGAGCGATGTAATTGAGGCCTTCCACTCGAAATGACTCAACACTAAAAGATTTTCTAGGCTTTCCATCTTCAAGCGTCGGTTGGAGACCTGTACAGCACCAACGTAATGATTGATGCGGTCAAAAGACGGCTGAATCCCCAATTACGTTTGTGGCCACCCCTTCCCCCTCGGTCAAACAGGCATCGTCTGATTGATGAATAGCAAAGGCGATGTCGTATCTGGTTGATGAATGTGACCACACATTCTCTGCAGAGCTGGGTGACGCAAAGGGTCCGTGACTTGTGGCTCCTGGCTGATTCTCTTCGTCCTAACACAATGGCTAGATTGGAAATCGTTCAATGCGCTTCAGATTTGTTCAACATTGATGCACCGCGTGACCAGTCGGATCCTGATCGGGGAGGAAATCTGTCGCGATCCCGAGTATATCAAGCTATCCATGAAGTTCTCAGAATCCGTGTTCATGAACGGCGTCATGCTCTCGACTCTCTCGCTGGGACCATTCCGCAAGATGGTCTCTTGGATCGGCTCGTTCGCTCACCGCAGGACATTGAACCAGTTAATTCGTCTCTTGATCCCCGTGATCGAAAAGCGCCTGGAGGAGATGAAGCGTGACCCCACCGGCCCCAAGCCATTCGACATGGTCCAATTCACGATTGAGTTGACAGGACCCTCGGACAAGGAAAAGACACCGGAGCGAATGGCCCATCAGGTCCTTCAGAATCTCTGGGCCGGCAGCGGCGCACCCGGTGGGCTGCTGACACAAATGGTCTATCAGGTCCTCACGTACCCGGAATATCTCGAGCCGATGAGGGAGGAAATCCGCAGCGCCATTGCCGAGCATGGCTGGACCGACAAGATGCTGAACAACATCCCCCTTGTCGACAGCTTCCTGCGAGAGACAAACCGCCTCTATCCGAACGGAGCTGGTATGTACACTTATCAAGGTGTTCTCAGGACGAACTAAACTAGGAAATCTAGTAACGGCCGCACGAACCGTCATGGGCAAGCCCTTCCAGTTTCACGACGGAACCACATTGCCCGTGGGCGCGCGGATTGCCTTCCCCTCGCGAGCCATTATGTGCGACAGCGCCAACTTCGACAACCCATATCAGTTTGATGGGTTCAGATTTGCACGCCTGGCAAGTCAGAAGGAGTCGTCCTCTGATTCCCGCGAGCAGCTGTATAATTCGGCAACAGTAACCAAGACGAACCTTGCGTAAGCCCATTCTCTGCCTCTTCTCAAAAATTCTCTCTGACCCTTGGCAGATTTGGCTACGGAAAGCATGCCTGCGTGGGCCGCTTCTACGCTGTTCGCAAGGTGAAGCTGGTATTTTGCCGTCTCATGCTAGACTACCTGGTTGAATGGGAAGGCAATGTCACAGAGAGACCTCCCAGTCTGTGCATTGAGGGTCAGTTGGTGCCTAATCCCGAACAGAAGATTCGCATCAAACGGAGAGCAGAAGCTTGAGGTACAATTAGCGATATCACCTCTGGGAGTAGATTAGGTGGTTGTGATCGTATCTGAGCTGGAGAAATAGGCGTATTGGTTTCATGCAATCAGAAAAGTAAACATGAATTACGTCTGACTTATCCTGTGTCCTTTGACATGGACAACGCAGGTCAGGTTTATGGTGAGAACGTATCGTACTGGCAGATGGAGCAGGAATTACTTAGTCGTTAGTGTGAGACTGTATAGCTACAATGCTATTGCTAAGATGGCACTCGGTGTCCGATAATGCTCTCTCCTAGATTTCCATTTCCGATTTATTGACATTCACTCCTATTTTGGTCTAATTGAACAACCTATGCCCCACGAAGTCATACTTTTGCGACAGGCGCCTGCAGTTGAGCCACCAAACCTGACGCACACCACAAGCCGGTGGACGTGGCCTGCGCAACAGCCTTCCCTACTGATCCACAGTCCCCCACAGCAAAGACTCCTGGCACGCTGGTCGTCTCGTAGAAAGGAGGCTTGACCGAGATATCGCCGCCCTGCGTGAGCTGGAGAGAGAGCTGCTGAGCAAAGGGACCGTTCACCTCCGATATGGGCTTGTGGACCTTTAGATTGATGAGTGGTGTATCATAATAAGATAGGACGGGAGGACATACCAAGAAACCCTCATTGCGAGTACTTCCGTCATTCAGGTCTACTGTGACACCCCCATGCCCCGATTCCATGTTGATCTTGGCAATCGGTGTTGTGACGAGCTCAAACCCCTCGCGCTTCAAGGGCTCTTCAAGCGTCTGAGACAGTTCCACGGCGCCATCCGTATACACTGTGACCTTCTCCGACAGCCGTCGTGCCATCCGAGCAAGGTGCATGGCCGGTCCCATGTCAGCGCAGTCGCCAATGGCGAGCACGCCGACCGATTCCTGCCCACGTTCTTCCCAGCCATGGCAGAAAAGACAGTGAAATCTATTGCAAGGTCATTGCACATCCCTACAAAGGAACAACTGTCCGTCCAGGTAGCGAGACTTACATTCCCTGCCCCCAAGCCGCGGCGTACCCCTCAATATCAGGAGGGATATCCCGGACGCCGACGGCGAGGACCAATTTACGTCCCTCCCAGACCTGGCCCGCGGCATCGATCGCCTCAAAGGTGCCGTTACCGGTCTGACGGACCTCTTTAATGTCGGTGTTTTGGATCTGGATGGTGTTATAGCGGTTCAGCAATTCTCTCCTGGCCACGGCGCGGAAGTCAGCGGGAGACTGATGGTCCCACGTGGTCACATTGTGCATCCGGCTTGCGGCATCGTTACGATACTTGTTGGAGTCGAAGATCACGGCCGTGTGAAGTTGGCGGGCGAGACCCAGTGCGGTGGACAGGCCTGCCGGGCCACCGCCGACGATGAGGACGTCAAAGAGCTTTTCCATAATTGGCTGGCGCATTGGCAAAGAGGCTTGGTAATGTGTAGCTAACTGACTGTAAATTGTACAAGTTGTCCGAAGAGGGATTTGTCCTCCACAAAGCCCCGCAGTGCTCGGGGTGTTACAACGTACGTATCAATATATACCGGTAGACCTCAGAGTATAGAAGCCCTTTCGGAGGCCGAGGGGCTACTCGGCCTCTCTCCAACCTTCGTGGACATAGATTGGGTCCCATCGATGAGCCGGCAAAGGGATTGCTCTTCCAGAGCTCCCTGACGAGCAACCCGGACCTACTTTTTGTAGACGAGCTACCACCATCGTACTGGGATCATTCAGGAGAGTATCATGATTTCTGGGATTCTGGGCCATCCGTTGGGTCTGGCCGTTGTCGGACCCTTTCTAGGCTTCTTGTTGGGAATTGCTGTGCTGGAGGCGGCATACCCGGGGATCCTCCCACAGCCTTTACTCAATGTGCTTTCCGCACCCATCAATGTTAGTTCCTCCAGAGGGAAAGCCAACGGATATTAACATGTATAGGTGTATTTGTCGTGGTGCTATCCCATCAAAAGCGCAGACGGCACAAAGGACTTACCCTCTTGTGCATATCGCTGGCCTAATGGACAAGGAGACACGGCCAAATTCCTACAAGGGATTGAGAACAGTCCGCGCTGGGAGAAAGCTTTCGGAAGTATCTACCGGATTTGGAGTGGAACCAAGCCTGAGGTGTAAGTCTTTGTACAAGCGCAAGAAAGATGAAGTAAGAGAACTGAGGTCTAATGTAAAGTGTCCTCACACGCCCGGAGCACCTCCAACCGGTCTTTTTCGATTCTGACCAACATACCAAAGCGTTGAATAACAACTCCGGATATCTACTGGGAGAGCTACTAGGAAAATGCGTGGGTCTGATCAGCCCACCACAGTGGCAATCGGTTCGAGCAGTCACCCAACCTCCCTTCCTGTACCCGGCGTGTGTGGCTCAAACCGACCGGATTCAAGAGATCGTGCGCTCCTTCTTTCAGGAGCTGGAGCTTGACGACACTGGATCCCTAGCAAGAGGACTAATTCACCCCGCGCATGACCTGAAGATGCTACCTTTTTGGGTGGTCTGCGAGTTGTTCTACGGACGCTTGCCGTGGCACCTGGTCCAGGAGCTGAAGCGGCTCGCTCCACTGCGGGAGAATCTCATGAAGCATGCAATCCGTGGTGGACTTGCGCGTTTCAGCTGGTCACGGTATCTGCCTACGCAGGCAAATCGGGAGTTGAAGAATTTCCAGAGCCGTTGGCGACAATTCAACCGGGACGTAGTGGCACAGGCACGAAGGGCCGAGAAACCTGCTCCAATCGCAAAGATGTACGATGCCGTTGATCGAAGGGAGATTAGTGAAGATCAGCTCCTGCAAACACTGGATGAGGCCCTATTTGCCAACCTGGATGTCACTACCGGCGGCCTCTCATGGAACCTTGTGTTTTTGGCCGCGCACCCGGACTGCCAGAGGAAGCTTCGAGAGGAAATCACCGAAGCGACAGGATCGGGGAGCTTAAACAAGTATCTCCAAAGCCAGTCAACCTACCTACAAGCATGTATTCTCGAATCCAGCCGTATGAAGCCACTCGCGGCATTCTCGGTTCCCCAGTCTGCACCGTCGGAGCGGGTAGTCGGAGGATTCCGCATCCCGGCCAGGACGAATTTTGTTGTTGATGCTTATGCTCTCAATATTCGCAGTCCCTACTGGGCTCCAGACAACGAGACCTACCGCCCGGAACGGTTTCTTGACCGTAAGAATGTGGAGTTGAGGTATTCATTTTGGAGATTCGGCTTTGGGCCTCGACAGTGAGTTTTCCATCTACGTGACCTCTTTTTGGCGTTGCTGATTTGTCCGTCCATCTTCTAGGTGTATGGGCAAGTATGCGGCGGATGCCGTGATTCGGACTACGTTGGTATACCTTCTCCTGCACTATAACCTGTCGTTAATGGAAGAGGGCGATTGGACTCGAGATAAAGAGTCATGGATTACCCATCCAGACTTCCACCTTTGCTGTGTAAAACGGGGCCAGAAAGACTGATCCTCTCGGCATGCGATGCCTGGGTATCGACACCGGGGTCACCGAGCATAGCGGGGTCCGAGACGCTATATATAGTATATCTGAATTTGACGTGCTCTATTTCTGTCCAGCGTACGTACTTGATTAAAATTTGAATGACGACGTCTGAGTATCCACACAATGATCCCACCGCAGAACAATGGAATCTCGGTTCGCTCTCATGCGGTGGTCGAGGCTATCATGCCCAAGATCAAGGACGCCGTAGCTGAGAGAACCCGCGCAGATAATCCCAATATTGACCTATCGACTGCTGAAAACTGGCTTATCCGCGACGAATTGATCGATATCTGCAAGAGTAGTATCCAGGCGGACCTCACCACCAACGTGAGAAGTGTCCCAAAACCAGTTTAGCGGCCAAGGCTGATATCATCCTGCTGCAGCATCTGTCCTATCCCAAAGGCTTCTCGGGAGATCCCAGCATGGTCGATGGCCTCGCAAGCTTCCTGAACGAGCATTTCGACCCCCATGAGCCAGTACAAAGCGCACATATTGCTACGGCTCCGGGTGCAGCCAGTTGTTTAGATGCATTACTTTACACGATCTGCGACCCGGGAGACACAGTCCTTGTTCCAGCACCGTATTGGAGTAAGTTACTACACAGTGGACCGTTGTCGATGTGTCTCTCGAGTCATACTTATTTCCTATATTGCAGACGGATTCGACTTTCAATTCCGCGTTCGAGCATCTGTCACACCACTACCAGTGAACTGCAGCAGCTTTGCGAGGACCTTCTCTTTGGATTTATTGGTCGCGTTAGATGAGGCTATCGAAAATGCCACTTCACCAGTAAAAGCCCTCGTCCTGACAAACCCTCACAATCCATTCGCACAATGCTATCCTCGCGCGGTTATCGAGGCCTGCCTGCAGTTCTGCGAGAGACATGATCTCCACCTGATATCGGACGAAGTATACGCTCTGAGCATATTCGACTCTGCTGACTCAAAGGGCCTCCCTCCCTTCGTCTCGGCGTTATCCCTGGAGCCAGCGTCATTAAACTGCGCTCCGCATCGTGTACACGTCATCTGGAGTATAAGCAAGGATTTTGGGTCTAGTGGAATTCGACTGGTACGTTCTTTGCCCCAGCATGCCTGACACAGCTGACTCTAATTGAATGCCACAGGGATGCACTGTGTCCCAACATAACCCCAAGGTAATTGTTGGAGTGTCCCTAGCGTCCAACACACAAACTTCCTCACTTGCAGCCATTTTTACCCAGAATCTGCTGTGCTCTCCTCTTACTCCCCGGTTGATGCGACTCAACAGGGAGAGGCTGTCACTCGCTTACTCCACACTCACTGGATGGATGAAGGACAACGGATTCGCATACATCCCAGCCAATGCAGGAATCTTTGTTTTTGCCCGATTGGGCAAGGCAGTTACGAGCTGGGACGAGGAGAAGGAGCTGGTTCTACGGTGCAAAGTGGCAGGTGTGCTGGTAAGCGCAGGACAGGCCTATCATGGCATTGAGTCGGAGAAGGGATGGATGCGAATTACATTTGCAGTCAAACCAGAAGTGCTGCTTGAGGGTCTGAGTCGGCTGGCCCTAGCCCTGGGCGTGCGGCCTCCATCAGCCCAGTAGAGGGATCGCGTTGTATCAAGCCCGGTCTAAGAATTTGGTCTCTCTTTACAAGCATTTTCATTGTGGGCATAATCGGGGATCGAGAATGTCCATCAAGGAAGGGATCGGAGCCCGACGGCTGCTTAACCCTCGTACCAGCTGTAGAGGTGTATTTAAAGCAGTAGATGTACTAAGATGACCCTGCTATCTTTGCAAGTCCCACACCTGTATTACTCAGCCGACGTACGTTATGGAATATGTCCTGGAAAGCCTGAATGGCCATCTGGACTCTGTCCACGATCTCCTCCGGGGTAAGCTCCGGGACGAGCTGCATTCACGTCTCCATAGCCGGCAACGTGGAGTGCTCCCGGACAAGGAGTTGAGCATTCTATCGGCCAGGACTATTGATCTTTTACATTCAATTGAGCAGATGCTCGAGCCTGGTCCACTTGTCCTCGCTGACCATTTCCTTGGTAAGCTGAGAGCCAAAATCCTGACGGAACGACCGACTGACTGGAATTCAACATGAGGCTACATGAGCACAAAATGCCTCTGCGCAGCCGTAGAACTCAAAATCGCTGATATCCTCCGCGACAAGGGCCCATTGACAATAGACAAGCTAGCCGAGGAGAGCGGTGCGCGTGCAGACCGACTGGAACAGGTGATGAATGTTTTGCAGAACAACGGCATCTTCGAGCGTGACCCGGCTATGGTGACATACGCAAATAACCACACATCCACACTCCTGCTGCGCGATCACTGGATGCAATGGCATAACTGGGTGGACCTTTACGGCAACCAGTTCTACGACATGGCCCGAGGAATTCCGCAATCCGTACGCAAGGACGCCACACGCTCGCCAGCGCAGATCAACTACGATACCGACAAGGATATGTTCACCTACTTCAACGAGCAAGGTTGGGTGCCTCAGCTGCATCGTACCCTGGGCGCGGGCGCCACTGCTCAAGCGCCTGGTATCCTGGCCGACTATCCATGGGAAGAGGTGGCCAAGGAAACCGTCATCGATATCGGCGGGGGCGGCGGCGCTCTGATCGCGCTGCTCCTACGAGCGCATCCGACAATGAAGGGCGGCATCTACGACCTGCCGCATGTTATCGAACACTCGACCCCGTTCTTCCATACTCCAGATGGACAGTTTGCCGATCTTGGTGACCGAGTGCCCCAGGGAAATCTGATCGGAGGGGACTTCTTCAAGAACATCCCTCCGTCTCGAGTCTACACGATAAAGTGGACCCTCCATGACTGGAGAGACCCCGAGGCCCTGGCGATCTTGCGCAATATTCGGAAAGCCATTGTTCCTGGGGAGATAAGTCGGCTCATTGTTATGGACTGCATTAGGGCAGATGGGCGCTCTTCGCGTCTCTCGCGGTATGCCGACTTGAACATGATGATCGCTGCGAATGGGCTGGAACGGGCAGAAGCTTCATGGAATGATTTGGCGAAGCAGAGTGGCTGGAGGATTGAGGCCATCTATCCCTTGCGGAATGCGTGGCCCTGCGCTATTGACATGCGGCCCGACAATTTTCAGCTGAATGGTGAATGAGTCTCAAAAGCTCAGTGTTAGCTGATTTAATTTCTACCTACCGATTATGTGCATTTTGGATAGTAGAATATGTTGAGACTCTGCATTCGAGAATGGCTTCTATGAGGGGGACTACGGAGACGAGAGAACATGACAGGGAGCCAACTCCTAAACACTAAATAGCCAAACCGAATGAATATAGCTCTCGAAATAAGATAGCCAATAACAGATGAGTAGACAGAAGCAACACGTCATGTTCTTGCTGCATATGATCAGGCTGGGACAAGTTTGTGCAGATCATCAGACAGGGATCGGTGACCGATCCCTGTCCACTTCGGAACTTTCCGGACGCTTTTCAAGCGCACTTTTTCTTTTCCTCCCTTGACTTATGAGACTATTCAGACCGGTTTCGTTCTGTCGAAAGTGAAGCTCTACTCTCTTGCACGTTGGTCGTTACTCTTCCTAACGTGTCGACAAACGTGAGGTAGCATCATGGCGGACCACGCATCTAGTGACGACGCATCTCGTGATCAGAAGCAGGAGCTTCCATCGCCTATGGGAAGCGACTCAACTGATACTGCTCCGGAGCCCATGGGATGGCCATACTGGGTGCTTTTCCTGACTCTCTGCCTCAGCGGCTTCGCTGTGACCATGGAAGGCAGTATCGTGGTCACGGCGTTGCCCAACATTTCCCGCTCGCTCGATACGACGCAATACGTCTGGGTCACAAACAGCTACACATTGGCGTCGACCATCTTCCAACCACTCGTGGGCTGGCTGGCCGAGATATTTGGCCGCAAACCCATCATGCTGGGCAGCCTCGTCTTCTTCGCTGTCGGGAGCGCCGTCGCCGGGGCCGCGCACTCACTGGCGACAATTCTGGTCGGACGATTGATACAAGGAATCGGAGGCGGTGCTATTCCCCTGGTGGCCGAGCTGGTCATCAGCGATATCGTGCCGTTGCCACAGCGCCCGAAGATGCTGGGCATGGTGATGGCCACGTCGTGTCTGGGCCTATTGCTCGGCCCCGTCTTTGGCGGAGTGATCGTCAACCATAGTACCTGGCGCTGGATCTTCTGGATGAATCTTCCCATTGCCGGAGCCTCCATTGTCTTCTTGTTTCCCATGCTTGGACGACGGACTGCAGAGCAGCGAGATGCAGCGACCTCCCTGCGAGCCACAGCGCGCCGATTCGACTGGCTGGGTAATTTCCTGCTCCCCGCTGCCAGTATCGCCATCCTGCTGCCCCTGACGATGGGGGGAAAGATGTACCCCTGGGACTCGGCTCGAATCATCGCACCACTGGTGATTGGATTCTGCGGGTTTGTGGGATTCGCGGTGTATGAGCATTACTTCTGTGCACACCCACTCATTCCCCTCCGACTGCTGCGCAAGCTCTCGGCGGTCTCCCTGCAAGCACAGAATTTTATCCAGAGCATGCTCATCATGTGGATCAACTATTTCCTCACCATTTACTTCCAGGCTGTCCTGGAGCTATCTCCGCAGCGGGCAGGATTCGATCTCATGCCCACGATTGTCGGCATGGTAGTCTTCTCCATCGTCGGCGGTATAGTGGCGTCCATGCTCCCCGGTCCGCTGGCGATCCTCATCAACGTGCTCGCCTTTTCCCTCATGGCTGTTGGTCTCGGTGTATTCACCACGCTCTCAGCCTCCTCGTCGACCGCCGTCCACGCCGTGCTCCAGATTGTCGTCGCCGCAGGGAACGGACTACTGCTCGCCACGCTGTTGCCTGCCATACAGGCGCAGTTTGACCCGGCGGATCTAACAGCGGTGACTGCGCTCTTTAATTTCATTCGCAGCTTTGCGCTCGTCTGGGGAATGACCATCCCGTCTATTATTTTCGACCAGACAGTTGACAACCATCTGGATGACGTGCCGGTGTCAGAGCGCGGGATACTGCAGGGCGGAGGAGCGTATGTCAGGGCTAGCAAGTCCTTTGTGCAATCCTTCCAAGGCGTGACCAAGAACCAAGTAATCGCTCTGTATGAAACTGGGCTCCGCGCGACGTGGTGGGGGGCAATGGCGTTTGCACTTCTAGGGCTAGCGCTGGTGGCTCTGCAGCGGCCTCCAAAAAGCAGTCAGGACACACTGAAGACGAGTACAGAAAGGGACACCGAGAAGGCTGTCGATACCGAATCGTGATGTATACTCGAGTGTTAGTCCTGTAGCCACCATTCTACTCCGCTCCAATTCACAAAAGTAAGCCATTCTATTGTCTGGAGCCGAGCAATCATCGGTCACCGAGGCGACGGGGCCTCCCTCGTACTTAACTTAGACCAAGCAACGTAATAGGAGACGTCAGTCATCTCTCGTCCAACTAAACAGAAGTTGTTCCATTCGTGTCATAAAGAGCAGACATGGCAATCGACAGTGTGACCGATCAATTTCAACAGAACTGTGGCAAAGTCATCATTGGTGATGCCCCAGCTGATGACCGTGTCGTCCTCTACATCATCAAAGGCAGGACAAACGATCAGACATGAAAGAAAAAGGCTGACATGCTGATTCCAGCGGACGAGACTTCCTACATTAACTACATAAAGCCCCTGATCCTAGCAAAAGAGCTCCAGATCCCGCACGTTCTCTCGCTCATCGACACCACTTCCCAATGGGCCTACAAAATCCACCCGGAGAGGATGGTCCCCGCGCTCAAGGACCAGGACCCCGAAACTGGCGAACAGATCAATGTCTTCGAGGGAACCGCCTGTCTTCAGTACTTGGCCGATCGATATGACGCCGAGGGGGAATGGAAAGGGCGCACCGCCGCGGAGAGAGCCGCCGTCTTCACCTGGGTGGCATACCAGACAGCGGGAATCGGGTGAGTTCGTATGGCAACAACAGGCATTGACGAGTAGCTGAAAACTGCACAGTCCCACTGCCAAATACTGGCTCTACTTCCTGCGTGGTTACCCGACTCGCAAGAGCCCGGTCCAGCTGCCCAAGACCATTGCGAAACTGCACGAAAACACTCTGAAGCAATGGGACATTTTGAATAAGCGCCTTGCAAAGGACGGACAGAACTACATTGCCCTCCCGGATCGGCCGACCCTAGCGGATCTGTCCTACTTTCCCTTCGCCATGCCGTGGATGTTTACGTTCCTGGGAGTGGATATCAAGGACTGGCCGCATATCCAGTCGTGGGCGGAGCGGATGCTGGCCCGCCCGGCTATCCAGGAGATCATGGCCAGAGCAAAGACCTTTGGACATGAAATGACGCAGGAGCAGGCGGCAATGCTGAAGTCTGCCGAATAGATGAGCTAGGAGCAGAATGATTGAAATCATGCCACTCAGTGGAATCGGGAGCCGGACAGTGAACGGGGACCGATCAATGTACGTATCTAGCATATAACTGCAACCATAATGGACACGAACGTATCCTATCTATCACTTATACATCCAGAGCAGCAAAAAAAGAGTACCTTTTCGGACACAAACTACCCAACCATGGCAACATACACCTCAGTCATGCGGTTCATTGAACCGTGGTCCCAGAACAAGGGAGTACCCTTCATCAGGACCAATGCACCCCCGGGATACGACTACATGAACTTCGAATGGGTCGACTGTCCAGTTCAGATTACGGATGCACGGCCGACAAAGGACAGCTTCACCCTTGACCAGCATGGATTCACCTACAGGGACGACCCGGCAGGTGCAACGCCGGAGATACTGCAGCTTCTCCGCGACAACAACGACGCAGAGAAAATCCGCAAGGTGTACTATTCCCACATCGAGCAGCTCGTCAAGAGGGAGACGGGCGCCTCCCGGGTGATCATCTTTGACCATACCTCGCGCAAACGACGTCCAGAATTGGGCACGTATGAGAATCCGACAGGAAAGGAGCAACCAGCAACTATGGTGCGTTTGTCTCTTATCTGTTGCCGACGATGAGTTACTGACGCTGTGATCCCAAGGTGCACTGTGACCAGTGAGTGTAAACAAGGGGACTAGCAGAGCGAAACTTGGCTGAGAGGTGGACATAGATCGACAAAAGGCGCTCTCCGCCGATTGCAGCAGAACGTCCCCGATCATATCGAGGTCCTCAAGAACCGGGTGATGATGATCAAGTAAGTCTCCCGTGATGAGCGACAAAGGATAAAATCTACGGCCCTGATACGAACTCGGCGGCAGTATCTGGCGCCCTCTCCGCGGCCCCGTAGAGGATTGGCCCCTCGCCACCATGGACTATCGCACTTGTGATCCAAACCTGATCTATCCGACGGATTTGCTTGACAAAGCCGACGACTATCGCGGCCAGACGGTCACATTTGGCCACGCGGATGAGCAGCGGTGGTACTACTTGGACCATCAACGGCCGGATGAGGTGACCATGATTAAGATCTGGGATAATCAGGAGGGAGTTGAAGCTAAGCGTACGTTCTCTGACTGACTGACTGGCACTTGCCGGAGAAAGCTGATCCAGCGCTGATTTGGTTGTTCCAGTGTGCCCTCATGCCGCGTTCAAGCACCCAGAAACGCCTGTAGATGCGCCACCCCGCGAAAGCATCGAGGTGCGGTGTTTTGCTCTGTTTGACGAAGCAGCAGATGGATCTCGACATGTGTAATCTGTTTCGGTGGCCGGTCGGTCCGCGAGTGCTGGGATCGCTGTCTTCATGTTGCCTCTGAAGCTATATGTAGACTGAGTAGATGAGGATAGTGGTCTAGTACTTACCACGTCCATCAACTATCAATAGCTGGTAATGGATACTGAAAAGATCTCCTGGACTGAATCACAGATCCGTACTCTCCGGTCGACTCACAGACCAGGTTGGATAAGGTTGCTGGCCATAACTGTTGTACTTGCTCTTGTCTTTGGGGCGCAAATCATTACAAACGGAGCCTGCTTACGGCAATCACCGACTGTAGAAGATGTCCTTCGGCAGGCTCCTCTGATAGGTAATCCCTGGGGAGATCTGTTATCTGTACCTGTTGAGTGGTTGCTGACCAGTGTAGACGGGCACAATGACTTTCCAATCTGGATCCGAGCGTTCTACCAGAATCACATCTATCAGGAAAACTTCACGTACGATGGCCCACTCGTCGGACAGGTGGACTTTCCCCGTCTTGCTCAGGGCCGTTTGCGAGGCCAATTCTGGAGTGTTTATGTGGAATGGTAGAGCTTTTCCTCCCTCCGCCAGCGACCAAATAGCTGACAACCAGACGCGCAGCCCAAAAATAGCCAATGAGTATTCTGACGAGTCGTATTTTGAGATACAACGAGACACACTGCAACAGATTGACCTGGTTAATCGGCTAGTCCGCGCTGAGTCCGATATGCTGGCACTGGTCCACTCCAGCACGGACGTATGGGAGACATTCAGCAATCAGCCGACCCGTATCGCCAGCGTCATGGGCATCGAAGGCCTCCACCAGATCGCCAACAGTGCCAGCATTCTCCGTCTATACCACAGATTAGGCGTGCGATATGCCACACTGACACATGAATGCCACAACGCTTTCGCCGACAGCGCCACCCCGGCCCGACCACTCCACAACGGACTGTCTGAGGCAGGACGCATACTAGTCGGTGAGATGAACCGCCTGGGAATGATCGTGGATCTGGCGCACGTCAGCTACGAGACGATGCTCGCCGCCCTGGACGTGACAACTGCACCTGTCATCTTCTCGCATTCCTCCGCCTACGCGTTATGCCCACATGAGCGGAATGTACCGGACAACATACTCTGGAAACTGAAAAGGAACAATGGAGTTGTCATGGTGAGCTTCTACCCGTCCTACACGCGGTGCGACGATCCGGACCGCGCCACCATTGAGGATGTCGCCGATCATATCCAGTACATTGGCGAGTTGATCGGCTACCGGCATGTCGGACTGGGGTCGGATTTTGATGGAATGCCGGCGCGCATCAGGGGGCTCGAAGATGTCAGCAAGTATCCAGATCTCATCAGTCTCCTGCTCCGTCGGGGAGTGGGAGTAAAGGAGCTGGCTGGAGTGATTGGGGGCAATATTCTGCGGGTTTTACGGGCCGTGGAGGACGAGGCTGCATCACGGGCTGACGAATTGCCTCTCGAGGATGATGTGAAGCCATTCTTCTCTTAGATATGATACGTAAGCGTATAAGGTTGGCCTGTAGAATTGCTGTATCCTAGTTCACGCTATCCTAGGTACTGTTTCTCTGCTTCAACCAACACATCAACGGTGTCTTGACAAACATGACATAGACATCCTGATTAGCAGCCCAATCCCGACTCTCTGGTGCCAGTTGGACATCAAAGTTCCACACTAGTCGAGCAATTACACTTCTCGCAAAAGCCAACGCCATGCTCTTCCCCAGACAATTCCTCGGCCCCGTGGAGAACGGCTGGTGCGCCTTCTTGTCGTCTCGTTCAAATCGAGGATCCGGCTCTGCCAACCAACGCTCCGGATGGAACTCGCTCGCGCGCGCAAAGTTCTTCTCACTCAGCGCGGCCGCATATCCGTTCATACCCACGGCATAGTCACCTGGGACAAAGCGGCCACAGATCTTGGCGCCTCTTGCGGGAGTCCGTCGGGGGAACGTAGTGGGGACGACGACGTAAACGCGCAGAGCTTCTTCAATGACAGCGTTGAGGAAGGGTAGCTTCTGAAGACGGGTGAAAGTCATCTCCGATTCTTGGGTGACAGAACCGCGAATCTCGTTTGCCAGCCGAGACCAGATCTTGGCGTCTCGTAGCGCATAGTAGAGACAGCCACAAACTAAGGTGGCGTTGGTGTCGCTACCGGCTGTCATGAAAATGGAGGAGGCGATCTCCAGCTCTGGGATTGTCATGCCGTCTTTTTCCGAGTTCTCGCGGAGGAGGTGGGTGACTAGAGATGAAATCAGAATTAGATCCCTGTGTCTAGATGGATATATATATATAGAAAGAGTTACCGAAATCTTCTCTTCCTGTGCCGGCAGCGATACGCTCGCGGGCCATTCGCGTAGTCACCTGGAACTGCTCCATCCACACCCGTCCTACACGAGCCAACACCAGATTGACAAGAGCGTTTCGTGATATGAAGGCAGGCAGACGGCGCCATGCTTGAACATACAACCCCTGCTTGACATGGCCGCTGGTCAACCGGACCCAGGGATGCAACTCTCCGTTGACCGTGTTCTCCAGACACCCGACGGACTTGCCAAAGGACAGGTCCAAAATAACGTCCATGGCCGTGCTGGTGAACCAGGGAACCATATCAATCGGTTGGTCGGTGGGAAGCTCTCGAAGACGGCGAATAAGAAGCTCAACATAGGAAGTGATTAGTGGTTCCTGACGGGCCAGTGCTCTGTCGGAGAAGGCATGGACCATGATTCCCCTCAATCGGCTGTGATCTTTATTTTCTGCTGTGACCTGATAAAGCCACTCAGAACGCAAACTCGAATCAGCAGGATGGATGGATACCTACAATGACAGGCACGGAATTGATTGATTGAGAATACCATGTCTTGTCCTTCTCCAAACCGCTGCGCAGATCGTTGTCTCGCCATACTGGAGCCGATGGTTAGTTGCATGCTTTCAGCCCCCGGGAATTAAGCCCATACCATGGACATCGTGATAAGCGCGACTCGAATTGTAAGACAGCTCATCTGGAGCCACCCGAACGACCTCACCATAGGTATTGTGCCAGTCGAGAGTCTTGTATGGGAGATCACCAGCCAGTTGGTGATAAATATAATGCAACCGTGTGGCGCGGCCGAGCCATGGACCTGGATATGACGCCAGGGGGTGGAAGAAGAGGTTGTAGATGCATTTTCCGATGAAGAAAAGGATCTAAATATTATATTAAATTTGTCGGTAATTGACAGGAGGAAGGGCTTATTATACTTACTCCGGCGAAGATGCTACCCCCGGCAGCAAAAATCAAGCCATTGAGACTCCAAATTGTAAAGGAAATCGCCATGGCGCTTGTTTATGGTCTAGATTCTACCTTCTTTATTACGTTATCCCGGCTTTTGCTGAGGTTATTATAGTGAGATAGCTAACATCGGCCACCGACAGCCGCCAAAAAGGGCTATGTCGTATTTCGGACTCCGTACATAGCATCTCCACGGCTTGTTATAATACGATATCCCTGTTCGTTTGCTGTGAACCCTGCACTGAAGGAAAAAGTCGATATAATTGATGACCAGGAGGACAATATGGTTTCAGAGGAAAAGAAGTCCAGCACTTTGCAGAGGATTATATCCTCCTGCCGCCTCCATGACCCGTCCATGACGGCCGCAAATGCATGGATCAACGACGACATTCGCCCACTACCACCCTCTCGCCGACGATGGAGCGGTATGACATACCTGGGGTGGTGGGCCATCTGGATGATGGGATTAAGTAACTTCCAGCTAGGCTCGTCCTTGGTGGCCATCGGTCTCTCTGTATGGCAGGCGATGGTGGTCATCATCCTTGGCCGGATTCTCCTTGCCACCGTTGCCATCTTAAATGGAGCAGTCGGTGCACGATGGCACATTGGCTTTCCCGTCTTTTCTCGCATCGTCTGGGGAATGAGAGTCAGTCACAGAAATCCCAACCGCCCCCTAACGAACAGCGCCAACTGATTGCTCGCAGGGTTCATACGGCGCGATCCTACTCCGCATTCTCCTGGGACTTGTTGGATTTGCGGTGCAGTCCTGGAACGGGGGCCTTTGTATTACTGCCGTGCTCAGCGCCATATTCCCCTCGTACTTGCACCTCCGTAACACCATCCCGGAGTCTTCTCATGTCACCACAGCCCAGCTGGTGAGCTGGATCGTCTTCCTTGCCCTATGCGTTCCGCTCATCTACGTGCGACCTGAGCGCGCCCCAAAGGCCATGGCAGTGATGAATATGCTGACGCTGATCACGATCCTCGCGATCCTGATCTGGGCTTTGGCCACCGCGCATGGAGCTGGACCGTTGCTTTCTCAGCCTGGTATACCGATGACATCTTCCCAGTTGGGCTGGTCAATGATAGGAGGAATCAATGCTGTAATTGGCACAGTGGCGCCAGCTTTGAGTACGTCCTTACCATTTCTAGAGAACAGGGATAGGTGCACCCCCGCTGACCACAAAGCCCTCCAGTGAGCCAGCCTGATTTTTCCCGCTTTGCCAGACGAGAGCGCGACCAGATCTGGGGACAGGCAGTGGCGTTCGTCTTAGTCGGCACCATCATGCCACTATTTGGCTGTCTTGTGTCCTCTGCCACGCAGCAGATCTACGGCGAAGCCATCTGGAACCCGCCAGTTCTCATTCTCACCTGGTTGACCAACGGCCAGTACCGCTCCTCGACGAGAGCCGCGGCCGCATTTGCAGGACTGGGCCTGACCATCAGCCAACTGGCAGTGGTGGTAGTCGATAATGCGTACTCGGTGGGAATCGACCTCTGCGGTTTGTTCCCGGCTTTCCTGAATATCCGGCGCGGAGCGTATCTGGGACTGGCGCTGGGAATGGCCTTCTGCCCCTGGGAACTGTTGTCCACCGCATCGATTTTCCTCATGGTGATCTCCGGGTTCACCGTATTCTTCGGACCCATCTGCGGAATCCAGGTGGCCGATTACTGGGTCTTACGGCGGCAGCGCATCAAGCTCTCCGATCTCTACAGTATCAAGCGCGATGGAATATACTACTATGTATACGGGGTGAACTGGCGCGCGTTCGTGGCGTGGGCTGTCGGCTTCGCGCCTCTCATGCCTGGCTTTATACATGCGGTGCAGCCTCGGATTACCTTAAAAACCGACGTGGGGCACCTCTACCAGATTGCCTTTGTGTTGGGGTTCTGTATCAGCTTTGTAACTCATTGCGCCCTTAATGTGGTCTTTCCGCCTCGGGGGCTTGGTGAGATGGACCACGATGATCGGTTTGGGACGTTTACAAGTATGGAGGCACGGGCGCTTGGAATTGACGCAGATAGTGCATCTCCATCGATCACTCCTGTTTCTGATAGTAACCAGGGGGAATCGGTGGATCTGGAGGGAAGCAAGGGGTGGTCGTGAGGATGGGCCTGGGGCATAGATAGCATGACGAATAGACGAAGATTCTGAGATAGACAATTCCCTTCATCTCGTATTCAAGAGCCCGGTCACCGTCTCGGGCCCCGATGTTCCTCCTCAAAAAAGGAGAACTCGAAGATGAACGAGACTCTTAAACCTTGCACGTTCACTAAAGTACTGCTGCTCTGCGTCTGTCCCTCGACTCAAACACACCGTACCATCGATTGTAAGTCCAGTCACCATGGCGATGGAAGTTGCGCTCCCGCTTCACTACCAGAAAAATGTCAACGAGACCATATGCACCTACCGCCAGCTAGGCAAAAGCGGGCTCAAGGTCTCCGTCCCCATCCTGGGGTGCATGGGGTTTGGCCGGAAGGACTGGGTGTGGGACTGGGTGCTGGAGGAAGAGGAGTCGATGAAAATGCTCAAGGCCGCATGGGACCGAGGCATCAACACCTGGGATACGGCGAATATTTTTTCAAACGGGGACAGCGAGAAAATCATCGGCAAGGCGCTGAGGAAGTATGAGATTCCGCGGCATAAAGTGGTGATCATCACCAAAGTGTTCTGTACGGTGGGAGAGCATGCCGATAATGCCATGGCGTTTGCAGGGCCTCTCAGGGGAACGAAGGAATACGTCAATCAGTCTGGTATGCTCTCTCTCTTCTCCTGTGCAGAGAGCAACGTTCTAACCGGCGATATGTAGGTCTTTCTCGTCAATCTATCTTTCGAAACGTCCAGGCTAGTCTCGACCGCCTGCAAACGGACTACATCGATGTTCTGATGATCCACCGCTGCGATGACAGAGTCCCATACGAGGAGACCATGGAAGCCCTCAACGATCTCGTGCGAGCAGGAAAAGTGCGCTACCTCGGGGCCAGCTCCATGTGGACCTACCAGTTTGCCCAGATGCAGTTTTGCGCCGAACGCCACGGCTGGACCAAGTTTATCTGCATGGAGAACCACTACAGTTTGCTCTACCGTGAGGAGGAGCGCGAGATGAACAAATTCTGCGACCAGACCGGGGTGGGGATCATCCCCTGGGCCCCTCTGTGCCGGGGTTTTCTGGCCCGTCGATTGCAGGATAGTCTGTCTGGCACCACGGGACGAGCGCAGGACGAGCTGGTGAATGGATCGCGCTATATCGGTGTGCGCGAGGATCCCGATCACAGGATTATCCGCCGGGTAGAGGAACTGGCTGATCGGAAGGGCTGGACGATGGTCGATGTGGCGCTGGCCTGGCTGAACAAGCGGGTGACCAGTCCGGTGGTGGGCATGCGGTTGGAGAACATGCTTGATGAGGTGGCTGCGGCCTGTAAGAAGACTTTGACCACGGAAGAAGAGAAGTATCTGGAGGAACTGTACCAGCCCAGGGCGATTTCAGGACATGCCTAGACATCATTGGTGGGGCTATCAGATATATACATGCAGGAAACAACGAGTTCAATTTCTAGCAATGAAGAGTAGAATCATTATCGGCTTAGATACTTGCAGGGAGCTCGCGTGCTACACCATTTCCTGCACACACCCCTGCCGCAATGGCCATGGAAGCGTTTTTGAAAGGAGAGGCACAATCCCCAGCAGCGTAGACGCCAGGGATGCTGGTGGCCGGGAACGGATGCTCCACGCGGATATCGCCCATGGGTGTTGTCTCGACTCCCAGCTGCGCGGGCAGAGTTCCTCGCAGCTGAGTCCAGGGCTGATGCACGAGAAATCCCTCTTTCCTCTCTTCGCCACCCTCCAGTTCGACCGTAACCTCCGCTCTCTCCGGCCCTTTGCGTAAACGCTGGATGTTCCGGGCTTCAACCGACAGGTAGTCAACCTCCTTGGTGAGTTCCTGAAGCTGCGCCGTCACTCTCGCGTCTCCGTCGGTATACAGAACGACCTGGCGGGCGAACTTGCGTGTATCGCCGGCCAGCTTTACCACCTGGGGAAGAACCGAGGCCAGTTTATCTACGACCAAGATTCCCGCGGACGCGCAGCCTCGCTCTTCGTACCCGAACTGGAACATACACGGAAAGATTCCCGTCACCCAGCAGTCCTTGTAGCCCGGAATATCAGGATAGATCTCGTCCGTTCCCGTTGCGAGCACCACCTTCCGGCCGTGGTATTCTTGCCCATTGCTAGCTGTCACCCGCCACTCGTAGTCCTGTCCTTGCTGCTTCGCAATCGTGGTCACTTGCGCATTGACGAAGGAGCAGAGACCAGTGTTTTCTAGCTCTTCACGGGCTGCTTGCCTGTATTTTGAGGATGCTGTACCATCCCAGCCGGGCAGCAGTCTAACGTGTGGTGCCTTGTCGTCTCGAAATAGGCCAGAGTCAAAGACGATGGTAGAGTGAGTGGCCCGGTAGAGAGTGGATGCTGCAGCCAAGCCAGCATATCCTCCTCCGATAATGAGTACGTCGGCTGTAGGTGTTGAGGAGGGAGACATTATCAACGGTTCGAACTAGACGAGGATATTCGTGGCAGGATAGTCTGCTTGTTGTGTTTGTATTGTGGAAATATGTGAAATATATTTATATTCGCACCTCGGCTCTCCGCATCGGCCCCCGAACTGCACTGACCGACCACCACAGGCATATATCGTGAACTACAAGTCACCAAGAGTCATTTTTATAAGGATTGATGTACTTTGAGGTATCTACCAAATCTATCAAGCTACAGCAATGAACGCTCCGAACGACAAGCTCCATTCGGCCAAAATGTACGATGAGCGCAACGCCATACTAACCCCAGCCGATGGCTCCATTGTGCCGCATATCCTGCTCTTTCTCGTGCAGATGGCAGCGCTGAGCTCGCCACCTTTCCGAAACCGCAAGACAGTATTTTCAGGCGCTATCGTCATCCTCGCCGTTCTTGCGAACGTCAACCGGTTCACAGACGATCCCAAGCTGGCGCAATTCTTCTCCCTCGCATGGCCCCATTACCTTAACGTGCTGGAAAAGCTGCTCACTTCCCCCAGTCCCGGTCCAGAGGCGGCTTTCTGGCGAGAGGATCGCCCAGCACAGGAGGCCATGAGCTTTGCGCCCTTCCGTTTCTCCAAGCTCGTCTGGGCGTTTGTTATTTGGTTCAATCTGCGAGGCATTCGGTGGAACTATCAGGTCGCAAATATCCCAGCGGAACCCTTAGGGAGGAGTCCGGGGAAGTGGCGGTTTCTGGCAGATCGTGTGCTGACCTTCATCCGGTTGCTCTGCATGGCCGACGTGCTGAGCCACCTGGCTATCCTCAACTTCTACACAACGGCCCATGGAGGCCCCGTTGATAGCCGCACGCTGACCACGCGGCACCCCAAGTTTGCCTGTCAGTTGTACCGGACCGCGACTGTGGGAATGATCCCGTACACGTTCATGAATCTGCAGTATATCGGAGGAGCCATCCTCTGGGTTGTGCTGGGAATCAGCCAACCGGCCGACTGGCCACCGTTCTTTGGCTGCCTGTCGCAGGTTACGACTGTTCGGGCTTTCTGGGGGAAATACTGGCATCAGATGATTCGACGAGTAAGCAGTGCTTGTTTCAATTTGGCGAAAAAGAACCCGGGAACTGACGGGCAAACAGACAGTGAATGTGTACACCGGATTTTTCTGTGATTTGCTGCATCTCCGACCCGGAACCATTCGCACGTACATTCGTCTCTGGCTATCTTTTGCCATCAGCGGCGTTATGCACTGGGCTGCTATTTACATCATCCCAGCGCCTATGAACCTCAGCTTCAGCGAGCGCAGTGTAGGCTTTGTGAAATTCTTCCTTCTACAGGCAGCAGCTATCACCCTGGAAGATTTCGTACAGTTTCTGTATCAGCGGATAGCCCCGGGAATGGCTGCAACGCCCCGACGATGGCATCGATGGCTGGGACATGCGTGGGCAGTTTTTTGGTTTGGTTTCTCGCTGCCCTTTTTCCTCGATATCATGCTGAAGATGAAGAATCTGGAGGAACCTCTTCTTCCGGGCACTGTGATGAGGCCATTGGTGCCGTATCTTGCGGCGTGTGCCACTTGAACATATTGATCAATCTATATGGGGACGTATCTGATAGCATGTAAGCTTTAAGATCCTACTGTCTAGGGGTTATCTAGCTTTAGTCCATTCCCTTTCCTCTCTGACAGCTTCATCCGTACTCCCTTAGACCCTGCCTTGACCGCGCCCATCAGATTATCCCGCACGATATCCACGTCCTCTCTCGTAGTCTCGAACAACTCCATGTCATATCGCAGTACCAAGGCGGCCAACGCGCGGTAGATGACAGCACTGGCCAGACTAGATAAGAAACTCGTCAGAACTCACGCATCATCATCATGTCAAAAAAGGGTTATCCGTACTTGATACCAATACACATCCGACTCCCACGACCAAATGGCAGCAGATACCGGTCCAATGGGGTCCCCGCCGCTGCAGCCGCATCCCACCGGTCTGGATCGAACCGTCTAGGATTAGGAAAGATAGAGGGGTCCAAATGCGTGAAGTGATGGTCCATGCTGACTGGTGTTCCAGGGGGGATAGTCCAATCCTTGTACTGGAGAACCTCATCTGGGGCAATGCGAGCTAGTCGGCCCGTGACGGAGGATGTGACCCTCATTCCTTCCATGACGATGTGACGCTGTGGTAGATATTCTATTAGTAAATTCTCATCTCCTCAACGTTTCTGAGGGACCTGGAGAGCATACAAGATACGGCAGCTGCTCGAGCGCTGTCCAGGACAACTGGCCTTGATTCTCCTCCAGCAGTTTTTCCAGCTGCGCTCGCAGCTCCTGCAGGATAGGGGGATTGTCCACAAGATGGTACAGCGTCGACGCTAGGGTCTGGGCGGTGCTTTCCGTGGCCGCCATGACGAAACTAAAGCCTTCCGCAGACAGTCGGTCTTCGCTTTTTTCACTCGCAGGAAGGGCGCTGGATCTCAAAGTGCGCAGGACGGACGGCTTTTCGGATCGCATGGCGGAGGATGCTAGATTTGCAGAAGACTTGAGACGCTCAGCTGGGTCTGTACCTTTACTGACCGCCGGGGAAAAAACGAACCTCTTGCAGATTGAAAATGAACGCGAAATCCGGCCTCCCCTTGACGACGGACGAAGGCAACAGGCCAAATAGCAGAAACGCCTGCGGAAAGTGACGCAGGAAATGTGACCCTCCAAGCAGCGGCGGCAGCATTTCGGTCCATGAAGGGAAGAAATCCCAACGTCTCGTCTGGCCGGGTGACGCACCAAACCAGATCTGCAGCACCACGTCCACTGTAAGACTGGCAAAGACCGTTCCCAGGACGACGGGGGTTCCTTGGCGAGCATACTCATCCAGAGACCCGCACATTGATGATATTGCGGGCTCAATCAGCGTGGCCTCATGGCTGAGGATCGACTGTTTGGAGAAACTGGGGGACAGTGTAGAGCGGCGCTGGCGATGGACATGATGATGCACGGTAGCAGAACTGGTGGCATTGGTGCCCTCCGACAGAAACCAGGGGTATTTGTCGCGTTTGCGGTTCCCTGGCGGATAGAGCTCGCTGTACCACTCTGGATCCTTGACGTGAAGCTCATGCGGGCTGATGCGCACGATGGGCCCGTAGATCGAATGCAGTCGGTCAATCTCCTTGAAGTATTGGCCTCCCTTTTCGGTGGACGAATATTAGCAGCTGGGAAAGACAGTTGACCAGAAAGGGCCCCTCACCAGAAACACGTCAAAATAGCATTCGTACCATAGTGTGAGAGCCGCCAATTTTGGACCGGGGAATCCCGCCAAAGGGTGGAAGTAGAGGCGCCAGATGCCCAGGCAGAGCAGATACGACCCGAAGAGCGCAGCGGAAAGACTCAACAGATCCAAGCCAGTAAATCCCAACATTGTGAAATTCAAGACGAATTCAATTGATCTTCTTTGGACAATCACTCTCGATGTCCTCCATCTCTTCTTACATGGTTGTCTGCATACATATAGGCACCAGAAAGAATCGGTCGCCGAGGCGGGTACCGAATACAGATAGAGCACAACACGTAGTGAATAGATATGGAGACGAATTCAATTAATTGTCTCAGCCATAGTCGAATACGCAGCTTCCCATTCAGCTGAATTTGGAAACTATACTCGTCATGTCTGTCACCAAGTCACAGATCCTGGAGCAAGTCCGCCAGATCCAGACCATAGCCCAGTCCATGGTCGAGACATGGGACGACAATAAAACCACAGACTCAAGCGCAGAATGGAGCACGGCTGTCCTCCAACTCCAGCAGGCTGCAGAAGAGTTGATATCTTTGACAGCCTCCCCACGATCGGTTGTGCGCACCCTCCAGCTCGCCCACTATGATCTGGTCGCATATCAAGTGGCATTGGAATTCGATCTGTTCACAGCCATTCCAGCAGATGGAGAACTATCCCTGGCACAGGTGGCAGAAAAAGCAGGAATCGACGAAGACAGAGTAGCCCGAGTGCTACGTCTCCTGGCTCTTCACGGGATGTTCCAAGAAACGCAGGAAGATACTTTTGCCCATACGCCGCTTTCCCGGTTCATCTCGGAGAATGAGTCTATCAGAGCGGCGCTGGGAATACAGTAAGTTTAGGCGAACTCCTGAATCGGTGACGAATTCTGTTACTGATCTGTCGGCCTATTCGTGCAGAATGGATGAAATGTATCAGGCCGCTTCCAGCACCGCCGATGCCATCCGCAAAAACCCACGTACTCAGGATGTGAATACGTCTCCCTTCGCCACTAGATTTGGAGTATCGATCTACGATTTCTACACAAAGTATAAGAGCAAGGCTGACCGGTTTGGCCGGGGCATGATGGGCGCATCCTCGTGTGAGTGGCTCTTCTGAATCTGGTGAACAAACTGATGACATCGTGTCACTCGTACAGTGGAAGACGAAGGCCTGATCAGTCTCCGTGATTGCTACAATTGGGCCGCCTTTGCCGGTGGAAAGATTGTCGACGTTGGAGGTGGAATGGGCCATGTCTCTATATTCCTGGCGAACGTGAGCGTCTCCTCTCATCTAATCCAGCAGTCATGAGATACTGATAGGCACAGCACTTCCCTGGTCTCTCCTTCGTCGTACAGGATATCCTCGTGCCTCCGGGAATAGACACAGAGGACAACAAGCTCGCGGATAATGTGGAATTTCAACAACATGACTTTTTCCAGCCGCAGCCAGTCACCGATGCCCGAGCGTATCTGCTCAAACATGCACTGCATAACCACAGCGACGAGGACTGCGTCAAGGTCCTGGCGGCGTTGGTTCCGGCTCTGGAGGCGGCGGGACCAAAGGCTGTTTTGCTCATCAATGAAGGTGTTCTACCGGACTACGGGCAGGCAATGTCTCGCGATCAGCATTTGACCCTGAGACGGGGGGATATGTGTATGATGGTGACGCTTTCTGCAAAGGAGAGAACGAGGAAGCAGTTCCAGAATCTTCTTCGAGCAGCCGACCCTCGATTCAAGGTAGGACAGGATTATCGTTTTTGACTGGATGAAAGATAGCTGGCTAACTGTATGTTCGCCAGATACACAATGTCTATGGCAATGCAGTTACAAGATTGATCGAGGTGTATTTGAGCGGAAGCAAATAGGTACAGGAGATATCGTCTTTTGCAAAAAAAAGGTCTACAAGAACTCAAGACCGCTTCACAGGAGGCTTCATCCGTAGGGTTGACCCAAGTAGGTATTGCTCTGGAATATTCCGTGAATCATGCAGAATGAACAAGCCTCACTTCGATTGGAGCTACTGGAAGTTTTCTATGAAAGATAGTTTTAAAATAACCCCTCAGCTCAGTCCCTCCTTTCTCTTGCGAAAAAGTACCTTAGCATCAGAAGATGGCGTCACGGTGCACCCCACATGTAAACTCTCCGGCCTGGTGGCACCATCCTCAAGACGAATATCATAGTTCTGTAGCAAATACGCCATGATCACCTTGATCTCGCTCGCCGCAAAGAACCGGCCGGGACATCCATGCGTGCCGTGGCCGAAGGCGAGATGATCGGGGCCCGTAGCAACCAGCTGATGGAACGTCGCCTGGCCCGGCTGCTCGCGCAACTTGCTGAAACGAAAGCCATCAAATTTGTCTCCGTCTGGGTACGACCGGGTCACTTCATGGGCGGAAATGCCCACCACGCTGCCATACGGGATTACATGACCGGTGGACAACTGCAGCCCTTCGCGGGCAGTCACGCGGCGAAGCATAGAGACCAGTCCTGGGGGATTCATGCGCTGGCTTTCGCGGACGAAGCTATCCATTTTGCGTAGTTTGACCATGGATTCTTTGTGAAGTCGGCCATCGTGGGCGCCGTCTGTAGCGAGGACTTGTGCTAGTTCCTCTCGTAGAGGGGCAAGATACTCTGGTCGGGCGGCAAGGTCGAAGAGCGTCTGGGTGATGCAGATGGTTGTCGTGTGCATGGCTACAAAAGTGGCAATGAGCTGGTCACGCGCAAGCAGCTCTATCGTAGCCTTGCCCTTGTAGTGACCCATAATGTACTGCATCAGGTCACCTCCCGTGTCAACACTTCGGCCAGTGGCCGCTGAGTTGCCGCAGTGACCAGCGGTGATTTTGTCCAGAACTGGCTGGAGCATGCGCCGTGCTACGGCTCGACGCTGGCTCAGGCGCTTCAGGATAAAGGGGGCCACGAGGGGCCGAAGAAGATGCGGATATGGGGAGAGAGAATGAGCCCCGTGCCCGGCGTCCAAGGAATACTGCATCGTGACACGGGTCCATTCTTCATCTCGGCTCAGTGGCAGGCCAACGAACACACGAGAGCTAAGTAGACAGACAATTCCCAACATAGCATCGTACAGTGGGACTGGAGTCCAGTCTGTAGAGTTGCCTACATGCTTTCGATAGGCGTATTCCACCTCGTCGTAGAAGGTCGCTAGATTCTGTTCAAGATGGCGGGTGAGGTCTACCCGAATTGCCGTGTCAAGCTCGTCAGAAGGGTCTCCAAAACCGGTGTACTTTCCAAGGAAGATAGTATAATGGTGTTGCCTATAGCCAGATATTAGTTTGTCAGGTCGCGATAAAGAAACCGTCGTGACCTACCGAAGTGAAACAATGTTTTCCGGCAGAGCCTTGATCTCTTTGATTGCGGATACAGGGAGAATGACCGTCGGGTGCATGGGCGTAGCTATAACAAAGGGAGACTTGGGATACTTCTTTGCGCCCTCTTCAAGGGCTGGTCGGAAATCAGTCTGTGTGACATCCCCAAGGACGGGGTAATCCAGCTTTGGCCCCTTTTGGGCTCGCCATCGGAGCACGACGAAGGCTACAAGGACCAGAAAGGCAGCGACAACGCGGGGCTTGGCTAATAAAGGACTCTCCTCCAGAATTTGCGCTTGGAGTGTTTGAATGAACTCCATTTTGGAACGAGGGAACGAGTGTTCAATACCAGGATTCACATAACAGGGCGCTGAAGGGGGGCTATTTTACCTTCCTCAGACTGGCTAGCTGGCTGGCCAGTCTGAGGTACCAGGGCAAGTCGGCAGCCGCCATCGGGCCGATCTGGCTGCACTGGCAATGGAACGATCCCTAGAAGGAATACAGGTCAAGTTGTACAAGGACTAGAACTGTCCAACAGTGTCCGAACAGCCATTGTATAAAGGTCTATGCAATTGAGGCATTACGATACGAGTAGTTCCTACTGCAAAGCACCACAAGGACAATGAGTACATTCAATGTTGCCTGGATAGTGGCCGTAAACGGGGCCAATAGCCATCCCAAGCTATCAATCAATGACCTCTGGCAGGGGTGTGTCCTACTTGCCCGTTCCCCTCAGCTATTCACCAGTGCTATGTCCGCCTGTGATATCCCCTCAATTCCCAGCAACAATTTTACCAGGACTGTACACTTTCGCCAAGGTCCCGTGGACAGGATGGAGCAGGAAATTACGTTGGTGGACAGACACAAGGTACTTCTCCTGATCTCTTCCCCACACTCCCCTGACCGAACGGCAGTTCGAATGTACCGTCCCAGACACCGGCAACCGGGTCACAACGATGATTTGCCACGGTGTCTCTGAGTCTCCGGAGGACCTTTATCTGTCATTTGAGTACAACATACCGTACGGGAAGGTTAGTCCGGAGGGGGAGGAAGGGGCAAAGCTTCGGGCAATGTACCGTTTGAAAGCCAAGGAGAACCTGGTGACGGGGCTGGCCACCATGCGAGATCTCAAGTCTCGTGGGAAGTTGGGATAGGATGTACTCTCTCTGTCTTTTACCGTCTTGAACAAGCCTTCGCTTTTCTTTGATCTGTACTGCCATGCTACCGCTGCTGTAAGGAGGTGCGTCATTGTAGCTGCTGGAACAACATATTGAACGTAGTCTCCGACCAAGGATCCTCGGTGACCGGTAGAAAGGCCCACAGTACAACCGCATATGGATTGCTGCCACTATGGGCTGCTGACATCGGGTCTGGGCAGCATACGCAGTGTTCTTGCCTGCCCCCCGTATAGTACAAAACCCACTATCAGTGGCAGAGAACCTCGATAGAAGTTGTTGCATACGGCAGTGCACTGATCGATTAAACTTTTTCTGCAATGGGTACAGAAATCATCGTGTCGGAGGCAATGCAGGCATCATATCAGCTCTCGTCGCGGGTGCTGGAGCTCATTGCCAGAGTCCTCAGTATACCATGCTCAAACCTCGACACAACGAGAACCTTTACCGGAATGGGAGGCAATTCGCTTCTTGCAGTTCGATTGTCGGCGGATTGTCGTCAAGAAGGCATTGCACTTTTGGTCGAAACGATCATGGTCTGTGATAATATTGAGGAACTCATTGCTCTGGCCAAGCCTGTTCTTCAACCGGATAGCTGCACCGCCACTACGCCAATGCAAGCACACGAGCAGGATAGCAGGTTTGACAAAAAGACTATTTCAGGACCTCCGCTGACAGAAATTCAACTAGCCTTGATTCATGGCACGCAGAGGCATCCCACTCGGAACATTATCAGTTACTTCGAGACCTATCCGTCAGAGCACGTTCCCATCCTGCGTCACGCGTGGTATACAGTCGTGTCCATGGAGCCCATCTTCCGCACCAACCTTGACCTGCGAGATGGTAGTCATCTCGTTGAGCAAGCAGAGGCCCCTTTCATCTGGAAGGAGCAGACAGTGGACTCGCGTGAGGCATACGACCGAGCCTTGCGTGAGACTCCCTCCCTCCTCCAGCTGGCGCCGGGACAGGAGTGTGAGTCCATGTGGGGAAATCGGTACGATGTAGTGACACTGGACCTCAAAGGCGGAGCGGCATCTGCCCAGGGAAGCATCAGCACCATTGTCTGGCGGATTCATCACGCCCTCATCGATGGCTACTCAGCCACACTTGTGCTGCAAAAGGTCCGGCGAGTGGCTGCCGGTCTGGCTGTTCAACCGAGCCCGTCATTCACGACGTTGGTGGAAGAGCTCGGCCAACTACAAAGCAGTTCACAGGAGGCGGCTAAGGAGTTCTGGAAACAGCAGTATGCGCAGTACGGGTCAACAGGCGGGGAGCTCCAATTGCCGCCACAGCAGGATTCCAACAAAGAAGAGGGTATCGATGCAATCTCCTTCCAGATGCCCGACGAGGTGCCGTCGCAGGCACAGGCAGCCGGGGTTACCACGGCCACGATGTGCTATGCCGCGTGGGCACTGGCGCTATCAGTCTTCATTGACTCGGAGACGGTAGTGTTTGGAGCCGTGTTGTCAGGGCGGAACCTGCCCCTGGCCAATGTAGAGACGACCATCGGGCCTCTCGTCAATACGCTCCCCATCCATGTCCCACTTGACCCGACACAAACGGTGCCACAAATGCTCCAGCAGGTCTTCCGACAGCTGGCGAAGCTTTGCACTTTCCAGTGGACGTTACCCGAGCATGGGTACGATCGGAAGTTCACCTCAGCCCTTAGCATGCAGCTGGAGACAACCAGGATCGACGTTGATGGGGCGGTTGTTCAGCCTCTGACACCTCCATACTCTCGCTCCGAGACCGATTTCCCTCTCAGCATCTTCATTGAAACTGACGGGACAGTTCGTGTGCAGTACGACCGCAGCATGTTCCCGTCCAGCATGGTCGAGCTCATTTCGAGTCACTACCAGCAGGCATTCACTCTCCTTTGCGACCTCAATGCCACGGTTCAGCATTGTCTAGACGATCTGCTCACTCCTGAGACTCGCCAGACCTTGCTCCGTTTGGGGAATTGCATATCTCCTCTGACGACATTCAGTGCCGTCAAGGATGATCTCCTAAGCCTGTTCATGCAGAATGTCTCGGAGCACGGAGATCAAATTGCTCTTCAGCGAGGAAAGCATAACATTACCTACGCAGAGCTTCACGAGGCTTCCAGCAAAGTTGCTCGGCAACTGTTGAAGGATGTCAAACCAGGCGATACAGTGTGTCTGCATGCTGATCAGTCCCTGGAGTGGATCATTGGCATCTACGGAATTCTCTTTGCTGGGGGAGTTTACTGTCCACTGCACGCCAACCTGCCTCAAGACCTTCGCAATCAGTATGCGGCCACCGCAGGGGCAACTGTTTTCCTAGTTCCTCGGCTGCATCAGATGCATCTCAAACCGGCTGACTGTACCTTGGCGGTCTCTGTTGAAGACTGTATGGACAGTACAGGGCAGGAGTGCCCAACAATATCGCCATTCTCCACCCGCCAACCCAACCCACAGGCCAACGCATATATTTGCTTCACCTCTGGATCGACCGGAAAGCCAAAAGGAGTTATGTGCACACACGCCGGACTGGTCGCCTTTCAGCGCGACCGGACGGTGCGCTTGATGGCCCGTCCAGGGTGGAAGGTGGCCCAAACCATGTCCCCCGCGTTCGACGGAAGTATCCATGAGATCTTTTCGGCGCTTAGTTATGGAGCAACGCTGGTGCTCCCGCATTCAGCAGACCCGTTTTCACATCTCGCCAACGTTGATTCGTGCATTCTGACTCCTTCAGTGGCCAATGTTCTTGACCCGACTCGCTTTCCGACCTTGCAGACGGTAAGCACAACTTGGTCCGACAGAGAGAGCGCAGTCGCTTTTTGACCAGATCACTGACATCTCTTAGGTTTATCTGGTTGGTGAGCCTGTTCCGCAGGCCGTCAATGACCGATGGTCACAGCAAAAAGGATTGTACAACATGTATGGCCCTACGGAAGGGACTGGCGGAGCGACGATTAAGAGACTATTGCCGAAATATCCAGTGACCATCGGTCGTCCTAACCCGTCCACTCGGATTTACATTCTGAATCAGAGACAGACTCTTCTGCCACCTGGAATCACTGGAGAGATTTGGCTTGCCGGTGTGCAGGTTGCTCGGGGGTATATTGGTTTGCCCGAACAAACGGCCGACCGATTTAGACCTGATCCCGTCTGTCCAGACAGCGGCGAGATGATGTATAGGACCGGTGATTATGGATACTGGGATGTCAGAAGTGGCGAGATCGTGTGCCTAGGGCGCAAGGACCGCCAGATCAAACTGCGAGGCTTCCGACTGGATCTCAATGACCTCGAGATTCGCATGCTAAAGCTGCATTCATCCACCACAGCGGTGGCCATCGCTCCAAACTGGGAGGGGAATTACCTTGTGGCCATGGTTACACCAGCCTCTGTTGACACCGGCATGCTAGAGACACTAGCCCGGCTGAGGCTCCCTCCCCATGGGCTGCCCCGATATATCATCGCTACTGACGAGTTCCCCATGACCTCCGCCGGCAAGCTCGACTACCAGTCCGTTGCCAAAGCTCTTCCCAGGGCCGTCCCCCAGCCAACAGCACAGCAGACAGATAGCCTACCTCTATCAACTAGAACAGAGAAGCGAGTTGCACGGCTGTGGCGCGCAGTTCTAGGGCTGGATCTAAGCAAAGCAATAACCCGCTCATCGGACTTCTTTGATCTGGGTGGCCATTCTGTACAGCAGCTGCATCTGGCGTCGCGCCTCACAGAGGAATTTCAGCTGCGCATTCCGTTCAAGGTCGTCGTCGAATGCCCGACAGTCCAGGAGATGGCTGAGCAGATCGATAGGCTGCTCACGCTCAATGCCCGGACATCTCTCAAGGAGACCTTCAATCGCCCGGCGAGCCAAGTGGATGAGCATCAGCTGGCTCCCATCGAGCTAGAATGGTGGCATAAGTACCAGCTCGGCGAAGAAGGTACTTCGGCCTTCAACGTCTGCTTTGCCGCACGATTTGATCCCGGTCGCGTGGACCGTCATCGGCTCACCGCTGCATGGAACACCGTCCTAGGCCAGCATATGATTCTGCGGTCTCGATACGTCTCGGATCGCAGGGCCGGGGTGCGCCGTCGATTTGCCAACAGCCCGCCACAAGTGCACCGAGTTAGTCATATGGATCTGTGGAAGGAGGTCAATCGGCCGTTCCTCCTGGCGCAGAACGATCCCATCCGGGTTCTCATCTCACACGACGTGCTCCTGGTGGTCATCAGCCACATCGTCTGCGATCTGACCACGCTGGAGCTCCTCCAGGGTGAAGTCGCGGGAGCATATCATGGCGAATCATCGCTACGCACCGGTCCCCGCGCAAACTACATGCATGTCATGGCTCACAACTCCATCTACGCCAGCTGCGATCTGGACTTCTGGTCGGAATACATGGCCGGAGTACCTGATCCCGTGCGAGACTCCTTTGCGGTAGGCTCGGAGCGGACCAGCTACCGAGGCACATCCACCGTCTTCCCCTTCCCGCCGCTGCTAGCGGGCCAGATGCTCCGCGTCGCCCATGAGCACCGACTCAGTCTCCACCAGCTCGCCCTCGCAGCCGTGGCGCTGACCATGCAGGCCGGCGAGCCTAAGACAGCAATCGACCTCCTCCTAGGCGGCCCACATCTCAATCGCAAGACCCCAGAAGCGCAGGAGACCATCGGACTCTTCCTCGAACCCCTCCCCATCCGGGTCCGTGAGCCGGTGCCCTCCCCGGTGCACACCGGACAATTCTTACAGGCGGTGCGGGACTCTAGCCAGCGCGCACTCGGTCACGCAGTGCCCTGGAACCAGTTACTCTGCCGTCTGAACGCAACGCAGGATTACCCCAACCATCCCCTGTTCGATACCATGGTCACGTTCCACGATAATCGGAAGAAGGTGCCATTTCCGCTGCCTGGGTTCGAGCCCATTGGACTCTGGGCTGAAGGAGCCAAGTTCAAGCTGCTGTTTGAGTTCTGCATGGAGTCGGATCAGGACTTGACGGTGAGGGTTGAGCATGACCGCGATTGCTATCCGGATGTAATGGTCAACAAAATCGTTGCCGTTCTGCTGCATGGTTTGCAGTTACTTGGGGAGGAAATATCGTTTCCAGCACTGCGAGCACAGCTGGCAGCCTGGGTGGAGGTGTGATCACATCTGGTGTCTTTTTTGTCTTTCGCCAAAACTGTCCTTAAGGCGCATTTTCCTACATTCTTTTTTACTACCTATGTCACTCTTAAGACTGTCTTGACTGGTACAAGTACAATCACTCGAACTTATCTAGTCAATAAAGTGATGCTCATATAGAAATATATCCCCGTTACTATGTCCTTTGAGAGAGAAGGAAATCGATATCCTTCTCATTTATTGGCTAGGAGACTAGATCGAACCGATTCTTCCACCTAATTTCACGCTCGCCCGCTAGGGCGACCCCACTAGCTCAATATAAGGAGCCATGTCAACATAAGAATCTAAAGATATATAGGTTTTTAACTAATATAACCATAATAGAGGCTATAAAATTATTAAAAATCTCTATAAAAAAATGTAGATTCTATTATATATCCTATACTAGTACTAGAGTTGCATAACCGAACCGCTAAAATCGAATCCAACTGTCAAGGTGCAGGCTCTAAGTAAACGGAAGTCGGTTGATGAGGTAGTTGACACTCAGGCTGGCTACAGTAATCTCTATCTATCTGTTCCAGGCTGCAGGCAGGCTGGTACAGGCAGGCTCAATAGACAGGACGTAGCTCAAAGAGCTTCAAACAGGTTTTGGAATTGTGCGGTGAAGATATTCCCAAGGTCACATGATTCCTCATAAGCGGTTCCAACTCCTATCCACAGCAGCACCGTGACACCAACCCTCACCGAACTCGCAGCGGTAAGGTTCGGTTCCTAGATTGCGAACTGGCGCCGGGTTAGGGGTGGGTCAGGGTCAGATCCAGGGGTTATCGGTTAAACCACTAAAAACCGCTTTGCTTATTAATCACTAAATTCTCGAATATCTCTTATAATTTTGATATTAATAGATAGCCTAGTATTTAGTCTATCTAGATTCCAAGTATTAATCCCAAATCTCTAGTGGTTGTTGAGATATAAGCAAATAACAATTTTTGTCATGGGTTGGTATGAAAGTGGTGGTGGTTAATACATATATGTGCATCAACCTTCGGTAATCCCTGTAGTCTAAGAAAGATTTTTAACCACCACCCATTCAACCCTATAGATATTCAATTACTATTTTAGATATAGATTAAAATGACTATAATTACGATATATTTTATATAAAAACAATGATTTTATATAAGCATATTTAATAGGTCCTAGGCATAAGCCTAAGATAGGAGAAATCGAATTCTGAAATTTTTGATATTGCCTAGGCCTACCGCCCACCTAGATAGGCTAATGATGGCCTATCTAAGCCTAGGTTTGGTTCCGATTTCTAAAATTTCGACTCGAAATCGCAGCGGTTCGGTGCCAACTGGTTTTGAACTCGCCCGAACTCAGACAAAATGCAACTCTAAAGTCTAGTACTAAAAGTGTACACTAAGTTTTATAAGTATTTACACTTATAGTATTAAGATATCTACCTTTAAAATATGGGCTTTTATATAGGAAAATAAGTTTATGTTAAGATGGCTCCTTACATTAAGGTGGTAGGGGTTAGTACTTGCTGGAGATCCATACCTGTATATACTGATGCTGCTATGAGCTGGATAGATGATATATATTTCAGTGATTCACCACTGTTAATGAAGGAAATACTCTATTTTTAAAGCAGTAACCAACTTGCTCCTTTTTGGATCTCCTAATATACTATTTTTACAGGTTGAACATCTCCTGTTGTCGCCATCACTGCCTTCGAACTCCTATCCAAAATGACTCTTGAACATCATTGTCAAACCTTCTCGACCACATTGTGGCCTGGTGATAGACTCAAAAGACGCAGTATACCACTGAATGACGAGATATTAGTCGACAATGTACTTGCCGATGATCTGGACAGACACACTTCTACGTTGGATGAATGGAATGTTCTATGGCAACTCACTCCGTATTTCCTCGATCACTGAGAACGCTCAACATCTGATCCAATATCTGAAACTCACGAGTGCCTCACACAACCCCCCGCTACCAAACAGCAAACAGAAACACCAAGGATGACTGCTGCTACATAGAATGCCGAGCCATCGGGATGATTCGCCTGCCACGGACCCAATACGACCGGACTCAAGAGTCCCCCCGTGGTCTCCATCAGCGCCAGCGCAGCGACAACCCTAGACTTGGCCTCAAACTGAACAACCACAAAGCTTTTCACAAAGGAAGGGGTGGCCAAACCTACGGCAAGCAATGATGCCGCCAAGTACACCTGTTGCGACTGAGAGAGAAATAATGCGGCAGCTACCTGGCTCAGTATAGAGAGTACGGCGGCACCTAGATCGAACAGTCGAGGTTGTGTGTCTTGGCGCGTGGGGGTTCGACCGGCCAACGAGAGGACTTTTGGTACAACGAAGGAGGAGAATATGAGGTATCCTGCAGCGGTGACTGCGATGAGGGAGAGAAGGGATCCATTATTTGCTGGACTAAAGCCGAATTGGAGAGAGGTGAAGATGAAGACCAGGTTGATCATGTATCCCTGAACCATGTTGTAGAGCAACAGGGACAAGCCAAATAGAATCGTGCCAGGATACTCATAGAAAAAGCCCGCAGGCGACAGGATCTCAGCTAGTCGACTCGTGCAGGCCTTTCGAATTGTCGTTGTCTCTGAGGACAGCGAAGCGGTGGCGGAATGGACTTGCGGCTCTCTCACTGTTCCAGACACAACTAGCAATACATAGACGATCGCTATAATAAAGAGACCGATGGCAACGAAGAATGTCCATTCCACCGAGGGCAACCAGCCGGCGCTAAGAGGCGCAAGGGCCATGCCGACCATGTAGCAGGCCAGGGAGGAACCCATCAGCATGGATATGGTCTCGGGGGAGGTGGCCTGGACATATATGACGTTCAATGTGAAATGCAGCAGATTATCCGAGGCTAGGCCCTGCAGTATTAAAGCTCCCAGGACACAGGGATAACTCCTCAGTCCCACTAGATCAGCCTTTGATAAGCATGAGCCATTTTTGAATCGATCGTACGCTCCGGACAGAAGACACACTTACCTCCAACAACGACGCCCAAGGCGCCGACTGCGCGGCAGAGCAGCCAAATGACGAGACCAACTCGGACATCCCAATGCACCACTCGCTTCATGTATCCCAAAGTGAGCAGTCCTGCCGCATTGGCCAATGCAGTTGCTGTTGCCACAGAGGCCGCATAGCGGCGGGTTTCTTCGCCCTGGCAGTGGTCTGCGTCTTCACAGAACAGAGATGCAACAGCCCATACGGACGACGCAGCGGTCATATGCAGAGCGGACGAGGCAAGGAAAGAGACCGGAACGGCTTTGGACTCATCACTGACGACGCAGTTACGGTTGCGCTGGTCGGCATGGCCCAACAGGCTGGCCTCCTCTGCTTGGTCGCATGTGCTGGTGGAGTGCATAGTCAACCCGGCGTCTTCCTTTGATTTGGGTATGTATATTTGCAATATATGTCTCTGCTTCCAAGTCTCGCGTCTTTTTGGCACGCAATGGTGCTGTTGGACAACGTCGATTGACACGCCCAGATTCGGAGCCCGGGCGGATCCCGACAGCGACAATACTTTTGCCGGGGGACCTTTCCAGCAAATCTGAACTAGGGTGACTTTTCCTGCTTTTCATCTGTGATTGCTGATTTGGCGAATCAACGAAAATTGACGGCAATGGAAGTTCTTGCCTCCAGCGCTCGAGTCGTACTGCTTCCAGCGTACCCGATCTCTCTCGCAGGTGTATACCTCATCTCGAGCATCTGGCTCAAGATCCGACGCGGCAAAGCAAACATAGACGATGGCCTCTCCTCTATTTCGGACACCCGGGCCCGGTTGATCAGATGGCTTCTCTGCATCTTTACCGTCTCGTTAGTATGGCATCAGGAGTCTGCCGCTTTTTGCTTGTAACTGGACTGACTACCGTAGTTGGGCTCCATCCTGGTAGCGCAATTGTCGGCGTCTCGATATAAAGGGCAATGTAGTAGTCAATGGCTCCCGAACACAGTACGTGCCTCCATTTCCTCCGGGCCGTTCGATACATCCTACTGATACTGTGACTTGAGGCCCCAACCACCGCGGTATTTCTCTTCTTTGCAGCCTCTCTCCTGCCGGATCCCGACCTCCCATACCGACCCTCTGCTACGAATGTACACACCTGGATTACTGCTATTATATTTGAAGCAGTAATAGTAGTGCTGGACTGCGTGGCTGCCCCAAACTGTCCTATCGATGGCCTTAGTGTCCTTTGGCTAGTTCTGGCCTATGGACGGCTAGCACTACTCATCGCTGCATGCAGCATCAGGCATATCTCATGGCGGAGGGGACTCAAGGATCCCGCTCGAGAAAGCTTGTTGAGCTCCGACACTAGTGAGGAAGGTCGATATGGCACGGTCGAGGCCAGCCCGCCGAAGCCCGGTGACGCTCAGTCAACGAATTGGCTGGACTACCTCGTCGGGTTGGGGGTCATATTCCCATTGATCTGGTGAGCTAAGCCAAAGCACCCTGAATGACTCGAGTTATTAGAGTATGTGCTAATTTTATGCATTGACAGGCCGGCAGACTCAGTGTCCATGCAGCTACGAGCCATCGTCTGCATCATAATCCTCATCGCCCAGCGCATCGTCAACGTCCTTGTCCCACTACAACTCGGTCGTGTTGTTGCCTCTTTGGGTAAAGGTCATATCCCTTACAAAGAACTCTCCCTCTATATTGTCTGCCGAGCGGTGCAAGGCCAGCAGGGCGTTCTAGCGTCCATTCGAGCGCTTCTGTGGATTCCCTTTGGACAAGCGACGTATCGGAGACTGACAGAGTCGGCTTTCAAACATGTGCTGTCTCTGTCGCTTCAGTTCCATCTAGGAAAACGCCTGGGTGAAGTCATGAGCGCTCTGAACAAGGGAAGTGCCCTCAACACGTTTATCGACTCCCTCGTCTTCCAGCTGTTTCCGATGGTTGCAGATATTGGGGTTGCCGCCTTGTATTTCCTGGTCAACTTTGACCCGTTCTACTCGCTCATCATTCTCGCCATGGGCGGCACGTACCTGTTTGTCACGATCTATATGGCCAAGTATCGGGGTCGGGCACGACGCCAAATGGTCAATTGCGATAGGGAAATGGAGGCAATCAAGTATGTTTGTGTGGCACTTCTCACCAATGCTATGCGATGAATCGTGCAATGCTAAAATGCACGCAGATCCGATGCGATAATGGCCTACGATGTCGTCCACTACAACAGCGCTCTTGATCAGGAACAGCGTCGCTTGTCCGACCGCGTCACAGCCTTTCAGGGGGCCGAGTTTGGCGTGCTGGTGTCTTTGAACCTATTAAACACCGTTCAGAATCTCATTTTCACTCTCGGCGTGGCCCTCGTGAGTTTCCTGTCCGCTTACAATATCTCCATCGGGGTCGAAAAGGTGCCCCTGTTTGTGTCTCTGGTAGCGTACCTGGCGCAGCTGCAAGCGCCACTGGGGTTCTTCGGTAGTTTCTACACTCAAATCCAAAACAATCTGATTGATGCAGAGCGTATGCTTGCCTTGGTAAGTGTCCCGTGTTGGAATCTCGGGTTTTCTCATGTCCACTGACGCGACAATGGTACAGTTTAACGAGAAGCCCTCAGTGGTAGACAAGTCTGATGCCATCGACCTAGCCGATTGCAAAGGGCACATCACGTTTGAGGACGTGACATTTGCGTATGACCCCCGCCGTTTGGCCTTGACCAAGATCAATCTAGATATTCCACCCGGAAGGTCTGTGGCTATTGTAGGCGAGAGTGGAAGCGGGAAGTCCACGCTGCTGCGACTCCTTTTTCGCTTCTACAACCCAGATAGCGGTCGGATCCTCATCGATGGCCAGAGCGTGCAGGACATTACCATCGAGAGCTTGCGCAAGCACCTGGGAGTCGTCCCGCAGGAGACGATGCTCTTCAACGATACTCTCATGTACAACCTGTTATATGCAAGCCCATCCGCCACGGAGGAGGATGTTTATGCCGCCTGCCGCGCAGCGAGCGTTCATGACAAGATTATGGCCCTTCCGGATGGGTATCAGACCCAAGTCGGAGAGAGGGGTTTGCGTCTATCAGGAGGTGAGAAGCAGCGGGTAAGGGCGTCCTTGGCTCATCCACAGAACAAAGTTGACTCGTGTAGATTGCAATTGCTCGCGTGCTATTGAAGTCGCCGAGGATCATCCTCATGGACGAGGCGACAGCCTCCTTGGATTCGGAAACCGAAAAGTCCATTCAGGCCTCGTTGGCTAAGATCAGTATCGGCAGGACTACCATTACCATCGCGTAAGTATTTGACCGCTTGGGGAGAGGATTTCTTGACTGATAGGCTCTGCAGACATCGTCTATCTACGATTACACACTGCGACGAGATTGTTGTCTTCCACAATGGCACCATCGTGGAGCGAGGAAACCATGCACAGCTCTTGACGCAACGGGGGAGATATTGGCAGATGTGGGACAAGCAGACTAGAGAGCCTCGCTCTCCTTCTGCGAAATGAATTGGAGTAAATTATGCTTTCCTGGGTAGCTTCATCAACAGTTCGACCGGTGATTACCCAATAGACAACCATCAGATACATTGTATCCTTCTAGGAGGCGTCTCGTTGATCTCCCGTCTTCGTTGTACATCTTGCGCTCCAAGGAACTCAAGCAAGCGTAGAATAGATGCCTCCACCTTTGTACATTCTCTCCTTCGTTTGCTCATTCATTTTCAAGATATGAGACGTGAAGGGTTATGGGTGTAGAATATTTTGAACACAAACACACCAAACCGTATATTTCACTATCTACTCGCAATGTACAGAGAAAAACACTCTCCCTATCCAACTAGAGCAGCGAAACCCACTAGCTAATTGCATAATCTGACTAGGCTCGCTGCTCCAGCTCCCTGAGGATCTTCTCACTCTTTGCTTTAGCCGAGTCGAAGTTGCCCACCATGTAAAAAGCGTCTGAATGGGAGTCAATAGTGGCCCTCGTTATACTAGGATTGCGGGTTACTCACTCTCAGGCATATTATCACCCTGCCCATCAAGAATAGCACGGAAAGATCGAATAGTATCCTCCAATGGCACCAACTCTCCCTTCATGCCCGTAAATACCTCTGCCACAGCAAAAGGCTGACTGAGGAAGCGCTGGATCTTTCGCGCCCGCTCAACCTTCAGCTTATCCGTCTCGGATAACTCATCCATGCCCAGGATGGCGATAATATCCTGGAGCGACTTGTACTCCTGGAGAATCATCTGTACCTCCAGCGCGGTGTTGTAGTGTTCCTCGCCTACAATGCGCGGGTCCATGAGGCGGGATTTGGACCCCAACGGGTCAACCGCGGGATAGATGCCCAGCTCTGAGATGCTCCGGGACAGCTCGGTGGTTGCGTCGAGATGCGCAAAGGTCGTGGCCGGGGCGGGATCAGTCAGATCGTCTGCGGGGACGTACACGGCCTGCACAGAAGTGATGGAGCCCTTGGTTGTGGTGGTGATGCGTTCCTGGAGGGCGCCCATATCGACTGCCAGGGTGGGTTGGTATCCCACCGCAGAGGGAATGCGTCCCAGCAAGGCGGAGACTTCGGAGCCTGCCTGTGTGAAGCGGAAAATGTTGTCGATGAAGAGGAGAACTGGGCTTTGGTCAGTGAAATGCGGTTGTTAGGAAAGATGGGTAGACTCGCCGTCCTGTCCTTCGTCGCGGAAGTACTCGGCAACCGTCAGTCCTGTCAGTGCCACGCGAGCACGAGCACCGGGAGGCTCATTCATCTGACCAAACACCAGGGCGACTTTGGACTCCCCTTTTAGGTTGATGACCCCGGTTTCTTGCATCTCATGGTAGAGATCATTGCCTTCTCGAGTCCGCTCGCCGACTCCAGTGAAGACAGAGAAACCACCATGGGCTTTGGCGATATTATTCTGTCATCGCATTATCAGTCAGCGCTGTAATCCTGTCGAAATAGACGGATAAAAGTACAGACAATCAACTCCTGAATGAACACCGTCTTCCCCACTCCAGCACCCCCAAAAAGGCCGATCTTGCCTCCACGGGCATACGGGGCCAGCAAATCCACGACCTTGATGCCCGTCACAAGAATTTCTGCCGCCGTTGACTGTTCAACAAAGTCGGGAGGATTCGTGTGGATAGGCATGGTCCTGACCCCCTCGATAGGGCCACGCTCGTCAATGGGATCACCCGTGACGTTCATGATCCGGCCCAGCGTAGCGGGCCCGACGGGAATCGAGATCGGAGCGCCGGTATCCGTCACCTGGGTTCCTCGGATGAGGCCCTCGGTTCCTGTCGAATGGTCAAGAATCTTAGCGCGGTCTGTTCTGCTTTGTTTTGCAAGGCACAAGAGGCTACTAACCGTCCATGGCGATGCATCGGACAATGTTTTCGCCCAGGTGTTGCTGTAAAGATACGTTAATCAAATTGATTTCAGCGATCTTAACAGGGGCCTCTCACGGCTACTTCCAACACAAGCTTGTTGCCTCCATTGGAAGTCTCGAGGGCGTTGAGGATCGGGGGTAGAGGCTCGCGGTGGAATTTGACATCGACGACTGAGGGATGGCACGTTTTTAGTGTCAATGTACAAGTGAATTATGTTCACAGAGCGTACCAGCACCAATAACAGTATGGATCTTGCCCTGACCCTGGGGCCCCTCCGTACTGTTGAATCGTCGAACAAAGAGTGCACCGCCGTAGGGCAAGGGGACCGTTCTGGAAGAGACGAGTCCCCTGAATCTCAGCAACGAAGACTGTCTGATCATCTTAGTGCATCAGATTGTATCTAGAATACAAACACGCAATGTGTAAAGGGATGGTTGCTACAAAGAAGAGACAGGTAAGGCACAAAGTCCGGGCAACTCAATTAGCGACAGGAAGAGGTCTACAATCTCCGAATAGCTGGCTCAGTGTTCGATAAGAGCCACAAGCTATCCGACTCGCTTCTGATTACTCTGTTTGCTTTGCTCTTACGCTATCCGGCGCATATGGATGCAGGGGATCTCGGGGACCGTGCCCTCTCGGATAGCCAGGCAGACGTCCGTAGCCCCTGATTAGGACCTCTGGAATCATATCTGGCCCTGTAAGCTACGTTAAGCATCTAAGTGACACTACTGTAGTTTCCGATCTTTACGCGGTCAGCACTAAATTAGGGATAGAACGTGCGTAGTGCGTTGCTTCCCATACCGATCGTGGTGGATTGATTTCCTATCGGCCACCGAGACGCTGCAGGGGTCTGCGGGGTCGTGCTGACTTGAGCGTAAACATCAAATTAAATTTGCAGATGTAAAAGAAAATATGGGGTGCTTTATACGAGAGAAGGTGGCATTTGAGGCGCGAATAGTGCTTTGGCCGGTCATCAGTCTGGATGGCATCATTTCTATTCAAATGGTGTTCCCGACCATGTAGATATAAATCGAACTCGACAACCTCCGCCCGCTGTAGATTCTCAGTTGCGGCTAGAAAATGTCGGCAGCCGACTCGAGGCCATACATACACCCACTCGCCATGGTCTGCATGACAATCTCCAAGTATGAGGAATCCTTCCAAACCCTAAACGCCAAAGGTATCAGAAAACAGGAATTTGAGCAAGAGAGCGGCAATCACAATGCAAGTCCATGCAGTTAGCCGGACGTCCTCATTCCTTCAAGCAGACCAAGAGACGGACGACGCCAGCAGGATCTGGTATTTCGCTTACGGTTCCAACATGTCCTCTGAAACGTTTCGCCAACATCGAGGCATCAGTCCTCTGGCATCGGTCCCCGTCCGCATCCCGGGGTGGGCCCTGGTCTTTGACATCTATGGCCTTCCGTACCGAGAGCCCGCGTTCTCGTCCATCAGCCCTATCCCCTTTTCGGATGATGCTACTGTGAACGAGAAGAGGAACCATAACCTGCCAGCAGTGCATGGGGTAGCGTATCTGCTTGATCGCCAATCTTGGTATTCCGTGGTGCAATCGGAGGGCGGGGGAACAGCCTATGACGAGGTGGAGGTTCTAGCTGAAGCTCTTAGCGCGCACAAGTGTGACGAAAATGATGAACTGCAGTTGCTACAACTCCAAGCCTCGCTAGGGAATTCCGAGGCTGAAGGGGACGAGCTGAATCAGCCACGACAGTTCCATGTTACAACACTAGTCAGGGGGTATGGGCCCACTGTCCCTCGCTGCCCCAGTCTGCGTTACAAGGTGAGGAGTTCTCGGAGGCAACCCCAGAGATAGAAAGAAGCTGATTAACGACGAATGCAGGGTATCATTCTAGACGGAGCGCGCGAGGAAAAGCTGCCGGTGGAATACCAATGCTACCTTGACACGCTCCCTTTCTATGACGCGCCAAGCAATGGTTGGCGTCGGTTGGGGGCCACGTTATTCCTAGCTCTGTGGGCCCCAATCATGGCTGCAGCCGAGAAGCTCACAGGAGCAACAGCCAACTGGGATGGCAGGGGCAATTGCCCGATGTGTGTGAAGAAGGTGGTACGCCTGATTCTGTTGCTTATGTGGCTGCACCATGACTTGCTTCATGCGCCTCTCTTTGGCAGAGGAGATGGCTGCGACGAGGCCTCGGAGCTTGGCTGCTGTTAGGCTCCTGACGTTCTGGTTCTTATCATTCCGCGCCTTTTATGTTATTCACTGCACAATCAAATTGACGTATGGGGCTGTAGACCACATGGTCTACCCTAAGTTGACAGGCCGAGGCCAAAGACTAGATAACGTAATTCCCGGACGAGCCGCCACCCACATCCGATTTCGACGCGTTTGAACATTTGAAGCTATTTCAAATAGCTACTATGCCACAAAAACTGTGCTAAACAGAAATTTAGTGGAGCAAGAGGGGGGGTCTAATTAAGATAATGATATTAGAGGGCCATCTGCTGGTTCTATATCTTTACCTTTAGAACCCCCAAAATACGCGCCACAAAGGTGTTTTAATTACTTCATTATAGGGCATACTAGAACTAGCTGCCCTACATGATGTACAAGCTAGATCTAATAAAAATATATTGTTCGGTTGATTTAGATAGCTTCAACTGTTCAAACACGTCGAAAATTGGACTGGGGGGATGGCGGCTCGCCTGCGATGGCGGCTCGCCCAGTGACGGCGGCTCGCCCAGGAAATACGAGAGAACCCATGACCAGATTAGTTTAATCTGGCTGATCTTAGAGATTACGTCTCTGCCCCCGCCTAACCCCTCATCGGTCCGTTCTCCTGCAGCATCTGCAGATCCCTGTTCCTTTGCCGTTTTGGGTATAAAGGGCTTGGGCTTTAACGCCACCGTTTGGTCAACACAGTGAGTACAAATTGTACTTTCTGTCAACGCACTCTACCTCCATTTCATGCAGGATCGCTCGGTTAGGTATTTCAGGGTTGAGCCGTAATCAGGAAAAAATACCCCAAGAATGGTCATCATAATAATTAGCATGACAAAGTTACTTTGCGACCGTCTCCCTCAAAGCCTGCAACCGTGTCTGGAGATCCGAATGCCATGATGAGTAGATAGTCGCCAGGTTCTGATGGTCACCTTGGATCTGCTGCACACGGCCGGCAAGCCTATCCACAATCTGGCTACATCGCTCCAGCTCTTTCATGAACAGCTGCACCTGGATGTCGATGTATTGCTCCGGATCAAGACGGTAGTTCCCAAATTGGATGGTGGGGATATGGCCCTGCGGTTCTTCGGCCTCCGACGGAAGCATCACACAGGAAGACGCACTTTCCAGAAGAGTGACTACGTGGTTCAAGGCGATGCAGTTGAGCCCTAGCAGACTCATGCTGGGGTACGTCTTCTGCGAGTCGAGGTGTAGGACGAGTTGTGCCATGCAGTGCTTGCTGACGCGCATGACTTCGTCCACAGCCATCAGCCGGATGTGGATGTAGTATTCGAGTTCATGTACTAGTTCTGTGCAGGTGACCATGCGCTGGAAAGAGCTCTGTCGATGCGCGTGGAAGGAATGATGTGTCGTATTCACGTTTCCACTCTTCATAGTGGTGTCTACCTGCGGATTAACAAGCCCGCTGGAACTGTGACCCCGGCTCAGAGAGAATTGGAACGGGGAGGTGAGTCCCATCAGATCAGCTGTGGTGGGATCAGGGAAATTAGTTGCACCATGGCCCGACGCCGTGCAATCAATAGGCGTTCCGACGGAGGGCAGGTCCTCGAAACCCCAGAGCAACGAGCATTCATCTGCTTTGGATGGGGTCTTCGAGTGGATACTGCCATTCTCATGGCCCCTGGGATCTGTGGAGAGGTAGTCATCAAAGTTAAATGTGCCGGTCAGGCTATTCAGACTGTTGAGGCTGCTCGAAGTAATCGGCGTGCTGGCAGGCAAGGGCGTGCTGGCAGCCGGTGTCGAGGGGGAAGAACTTCTCTCTGTTGCAACCGATGCTCTAGCCGTCATTGATGGCTGTTGGATGTCGTTCTCTGGCTGTATTGCTCGTCGTCGGGACCTATTGCCTTGCACTTTCCCCACGCGAGACTCGACGTAGATACAGGAGTAGCCCAGGTTGGAGCATCGGCTGCACCCAGTCTTCTCACCGCTACACCGCACCTGCAATATCGTGCTTGTATGTTACTTCCGGGGCTTCTTGCGCAGGAGGAACCTTGATGCTGGGCCGCAACTCACCTTGGAGAAATGGCATTGGTTGCATGCAGCCCGCAGCTTGACTGCTGGTGTAGGGTTTTCGCCGGCCATGGAAGCAATGTAACAAATTGACGTACTTGAGAGACAAGATGAGGTCAGAAACGAAGACAAGACTGCTTAACAGTTGCAGATAACTCATATTATTATTTCCCTGTCCAGTGGCCTCTCCGAATCGGATTACTATACCTATAATAGAAAAAAAAAAGAAAACTTTACCCTATTAATTATACGAAGTAGGGTAATATTCATTACCGCCACGGATACATGGCAACCTTCTGCAGGTTGACGACGTCGGGGCCACCAGAAATGAAGATGGCAGCAGATTGGATTAGACTTGGCTTGTGTGTATCCACAGGAGCCGTGATAGCTTGGCATAAGACAATCGTGCCATACTGCTCCCGGGGAAGATAACAAACGACACCGATTTAAATTGCCTGTGGATGGCTGCTTTCCGAAACATGAGGCGAATGTTTCGCTCGTTTGTTGCATCTCGCAGATTACCTGCACAGAGACGTTTGCATATTGGGGCCGACGCTGCGCTTAACGACAGATTCGAACCTGACCACCCTGATGACGATAAACCGGCCTGACAGGACCCGGTGGGCCTGGTCCTCTTAGAAGAGAGGGCAATGTGACGATCTGGGACTGGATCAGAACGATAAGAGAAGGCGCTCCTTATCATGGGATATATTGAACACCTCCCTCCAGAGTTTTCTCTTCCTTTTTCTTCCCCAG